CGCGTAGGTCACCTGTTCTTTGAGCTTTCCAATCAGCCCTTCTTATTTGCAGTTTTTGATAAATTCTCTGCTCCACTGGCACATGAGGGAGCAACTCGAGTGTCACTTTCCTTGATGGGGTTAGTTTGTGTTTCAAACGGCAATTAGTGGCACTATGCTAGGTAGAGTGAATAATTTTACACTCTTCAAATCACGTCTCCACTCCTCGAAGTGGACTCAAAGGTACGATGCGTTGTCGGCTAAGAAGTGCTCTCATTAGCGCCCAAACTGAAAATTTGTCTGCATTGCTACTTGGTGAGCGACAAATTCAAAAGTCCGAACCTCCATTGTATCCCTCTCCCAAACAAAAAGTCTCTTCAGTCCCTTTTCATTCAAGCATTCATTTTACCCATCGGCTACTGCCATCAGCATCAACAAAACGACCGCATTTTCCTCATCTGCATCACCTGTATCAGCGTGTACACATCACCGAAACAGCTTGGCTCCACTTTGTGTGCGGCCATTAAGTGGTGCCAAGCGGTCGCTAGTGAGTGGGATTTTATGGCCACATGAATGGTTCTTGGCTGGGTGTGCCGTTTACGCGAAAACGCTAATGAGACCCAAACAATGTTGATATATTTCAGAGGGAACAACATTTCGATGTAATGAAGGCGCCAGCTAGTCGCATATCCTCACGCTTCCCTTTACGCCAATTAAAAAATAACAACAACGATGACTACGTAATGATTCCAGCGCTACTGTGTGAGTGAACACAAGAATGGGTCAAGAAAGCCGGTAATTAAGAGCTTATAACGGTTTTTCTCCATCTCACTCGAGTTGTATCATCCCCATTGCATTAATCAACTGGTTTGATGTGACCCCTCAGAACAAACTATTAACGCCAATTCCACGATTTTCCACAAACCAATTTATCACCATAGCGGCACGGCAAGCAGTAGTAAGTGCCAAGTGTTTGCTGACCTGCCCACTACTCATGCCGCACAAAGCACGACGCCAGACGACAGCAGTGGTGTATGCATAGAAGCAGCACTGAACAATCCTGACTAGATTTTGTGTCAAACTCTCTAATAATCAGATATTAATTTGTATCCCTCACAACACGTTAAAATAATTTCTGCTCGAGCATGCCAACTCCAAGGGTGTAGCGGCCAAATGAATGGTGGCCACGTCTCAACGACAGCCATACGACTTTACGCTAACTACACATCTCGGCTGCCCCACTTTCTCGATTTGGCGCCAAGTAACCAAGTTTCCTGTAAACGTTCCACAGCGTCCAATGCCTGATCTGTAGCACCTGACCAACTCAACGCAAAGTAGAAATGCGTTGGAGACGAGTTTTTCTGTAAAAATGGTGAAAAATTTTCAAATTGTGACATCGATGGCAGAACGAAGTTGATGGTGTCCAGACTGGTATTTAACCAGATTTGAAAGCTCTCCAAGTAGGCATAAGTTCTAGTCTGGGCGTACGAATGTAGTGAAGGGCAATTCTGAAAAAAATTCAAACAGGTCGCTTTCGATCAGAAGACCTTCAAGTCGTGTTGCCAATAGGCCCGAGGGACTGCAATTTCTGTTATCCCCTTGCCTACTTCTTGCACGCTCTAGCTAGAAACTGCCATGGCAACAGTCTTTGTGGGTCGCAAATGTTTTGAAAGTTTGGACAAAATAAGTAGAGACTGAGGATGCTACTGGCAAATAGTTAATAGCAAAATAGAAGGAGTCTGTTAGCAGACTGGCATCAACTCAGAAAAATCGAGCCCCAGTTCGTGCTAGCCACCTCCTCTTATGCGTCCGTGGTGACCTTATGGCCCGTGAGTTGAGCGGCAAACAAGTAAACCAAAGTGCGAAACTGTGGCGAGCTCAAGGCCTCACAGAATGAGAAAGTTGGACAGGCAAGGGAATTCATTCGGCGTTACTTTAGGTTCAGTTTTCTTTACTGCTCTCTCAAAGGAAATGCAAGTTGTGGCCACATCAAATCCGTTGTGTGTAAGCTTGTGCTTATGTGAGGTGCACATGATCTTGTAACCCAATTCTCCCCTGCCAGGCGGTCATCAATCACAAGTGCTTTGAGAATCACACAGCTCCATCACGGCAAGGAATCATTAAAGTTGGTCTCAAGCACAGTTCCACCTGAGTTAGCTGTGTGATCTTTGAAAGTATAGGTCTTACCAAATGATTTTAAGGATAATTACTCACACAAAATCGTAGAAGGAAAAATATGTAGTTCTTCAGATGCCGAACAGCAACGCAAAACACGACCTGTGCAACATCGTAAATGTTGTCTCAGGCTGCCAATGCCTATTAAACCATTCATACGTCAAAAATAGTTGTCGCACTCAACCACTTCTCTTCGGTCCCTTTACTGCCCCAACTTCCAATTTGCATACAGTGTGTGAGAGGTCTTTAATGACAATGCAAATTTCTCCGATGCGTCACTCCTTATGCTCTCTGACGCACGTTTTGAGCAGAGTCGGGTCAGTTAACTTTTTGCTACTGTTTGAGACTTCTAATACGCCACCTCATTTCATTGGATACACCAAATCCCACACGACAAATCGAGTGAGCTTCAATTCGTTGACTCAAAAACCACGTCACTCTGATTGTAAGAATTTTCTGACTATCATCTTCACCCTTCTTAAGCACTACTTACAACTTTGTTAATGTTTTGTGGAAGTTGGATTATATACGGTGGGAGAGTGGTCTCAAATACTCAGCAAAATATTTGCAGATGGTTTTAAGTGTCTGGTGGATGGCAGAAAATTGTAATGGTTTCCACTGAGTACCAACTGCTTACTGCTATAACTCCTTCAACATAATCAGCTAATTAACCGAAAAAGTGAAAGTCGCAGAAAGAGCTCAACTTTAACGCAAATGCCTCCTTTAAGTGGAAAGAAAGCAAGGGGGAGCTAAGTTGTCATTGCCTTGTTTGTTGAATGCAACGGCATCACTAACGCCATTCTCGACAGCAGTTACCAAAAAGGAAACGTTTTGAACTGTCAAGAAAGTGGGAGAACATGCTGCCTGTTTTTTGATGGCTTCGTTGACTGCCTGACCTTTTACTGTCCCTCTGAGGGCATCCAGGGGAGAGAAGGGAAAAAGAATAAGTTACTTATCGGACGGCCTTGTCGGAGTGGACCCTCTCAAAGAATGCGACATCGCCACCACCAGTAATGCCTAAGTTAGATCAAGACCACAATTGCAGACGAGATACAGCGATTGTAGACCTCGTTCCAAGGTCGCCCACCGTAACAACTCATTCATTCTTCATCCACTTCCTGAACAGTAAGTGTTAGAAAAGGCCAAAGCTGCAGATCACAAACTACGGAAATGGATGCCAAAGCTATAAAAATCTTCGCGAATTGACAAATGCGTGGGCCATAGGTTGTCACAACAGCGAGCCTTTTTAATGAATTCAACAACACAAAACTACCAACTCCCTTCGTAGCGCCAAAAATCCCTTTTAATCGCTGCTAAGATTAGTTTTTTCACTCGTTCAAGGTTGCCTAGTTTTGTTTTTCTGTGATTTAATAAATGTTACCATACAAAGTCATGTCAAAATAGGTTTCTAAAATAATAACAAGGTAGTTGTTAATGCATTATTGCGAGTCAGGTGCCATCTCCACGATCTTAGAGACATGAACAACAGCTCCTTTAATTTTGTGCACAGTAACAGGACCATTCTTCAAAGTCGTGTTAACGTGTACTTGCAGTCCAAATTTTCCCTCGCAATTCGTCTAAAGGGCTTGTTTATTGAACCGCTAATCCCAGAATGCTAAGGCCTAATGAGACACACATTGACTTAATGCCGCAAACACTAATGCGGTCTTTGAAACCAATGCTCTCTGCTAACAGCCAAAGCACATAGCAGACTGAAGTGGAATGAGGCCCTTAAAGTGATGACCGCTAGCTCAGTGATCCACAGAAGAATAGTTAAGGCAGTACTTTAGTGTTGACCAGCAATTTGTATCAATACGCCCCAAGGACGAAAAGAGGAAGCAACATCTGTATACATTGAGCATGGTGAGCTGCAACCATTATGGCTCAAATCGGAGGTCAGTAGTGGTTGATTGCCAAGTCCACTAGGAGTTGAAGAGGGGGTTGGGGCGACACAACCTCAAATCCTACTCTAACAGCTTCCATAGATCGCAAATGAAATTCGACTCAATATCTACCAAGCATGTGCTTAGGTTAGAACTGAACAAACCATAGCCTTTGCACTGATTGACTGCCATTTCGAGCGTACTCTTTTGTCTCAAGCCCGAAACTCTTCTGTGCCCCCATTAGTGAGTTGTTTGCAGGTATATGGATCACTAGCGAGCCCAAGTTATCCATATCCACTCAATGGAAAAAGTAATGAAATAAGGCTAATGAAAAACCCAGAAACCCAAGTTGTCCAATTATTCCACAAAAAAGCCATCACAATCAGTGACTCAACTGCGCATTGTCTTATTTACACAACGACAGCAAATTACCGTCTGAATAGTCTAAACAACGGATGCCGCTCTCTTGCCCTTTCGCGTCGAGCCACAGCAGCTGACGAGGTATCCATATAAATTGCATCATCAGCACCCGAGATAGAGGCCATCTGCCCAGCCCGCCGCACGAATCCCGCACCCCGTCCACCCTTCGCAATGCGTCCAGTACCAAAACCATCTGGATCTACTGGCAGTGTTTCTTCCATTGCGTCCTCGTCCGTGGTTGCTAACACGCGGTGCAGTAGTTCCGCTTGCTCTGCTTTAGTCCCCAGCCGCAGATTCTCATTTTCCATCCCTGCAAGCCTAGTGATCACCTAAAGTGTAAAAAACCACCCTAGCAATGGAAAAACTCAGCGCTGTGGTGAGAAAACTTGTCATTTCGGTGCGTACGAACCTTGTACGCATAACCCTGATTGACGAGAAATCGCTGTCGTTTGAGAGCATACTGCATCTCCATGGTATCCTGAGAGACAAGGGAATAGAAGAAGGCATTGTATGCCTCGGCGTCCATACCTCTCTTCGCGCGTAGGATGCGACCGAGACGCTGCGCCTCTTGCCTTCGACTGCCACCATGCATACTGATCTGAATAAGCACCGTGGCTTCTGGCAGGTCAAAAGAGTTATCGGCCACCTTGGAGACAAATATCGCCGGCACCTGTACCAGGAGCGATGGAGCAAAAGAAGAACCAACCTGAAACCTAGTTTATGGTCATTTCACACAGTAGCTTAGCCGGTACAAAAATTAGCCCAACCAGTCCAATTTTTTTCCCGTGTTCAGCAATAATCCCACTCTTATGATTGTGTGTCTTGTTGATTAGCGCGTTACCTCAAAGTAAAATTAGTAATATGAAAAAATAAGCAGTATTTCCCAACGAAATACCTTTAAAAAGTTTGTCCAACCTTTATTAAAATTAAATCAGATAGTAAATGATTTTAAAACGAAGAATATGGAAATAAACTTTTTTAAAAGCTAACTGGATGTAAACACTAGTCACGAATATGTGAAGATTTTCAATGGATTTGTAATCGAAACCAATCTTAAACATTCGAACCCCCAATAAAACAGAAGACAAAAACTCATTATTTGGAAACTCCCAAGCCTCCACGGTTCGCAAGCACTTAAGCACAAAGAAAACATCCTTCCGAACGTAGCCGTTCATGAAACGCCAAAACCGTAAACCGGTTTCAAAAATGCTGTAATGCAGGTCCAGATTTAGCGATGATTCCAGACCTTGTGGTTTGTAAAGCAATCGCAGCGTAGTCAAAGAGTTTAAAAGCAACCAAAATGTTAGCCTCAAGCTTACGTTCAAGTTATATTGAAAATTCTGCAGGATCTGCATTCGCTCGCTCTGACTAGTTGGACCATAAAGGTACGGACGACCCATTTTCTTGGCATAATACTTCAGCGCAAAGACATTGTCGGAGAAAACAATTATCTTGTCGTTCCGTCTCTCATGATACCTTATGAGGAACTCACAAGCGCGGAATTTGTTGGGATTCATCACTGCCAACAACTGTTTTTTCATGCTCTTCATCTGCAAAATGATGAATCATGAATCAGTCACTATCAATCTGTAAGTAGATGGTTTTATTTCTGTTGCGAACCTGAAGATACTCGCGGTAGAACTCCGAAGTCATGGGGCACCACACCTCGGCGCACTGCACCTTGGCGATGAAGCCACGTTTCTGCAGCTCTAGCCAATTGGCCTCGTAGATTTTGGGTCCAATGAGAAAGTTGAGGTCGGTGATTTTGTCGTCCTCGCGCACCAGAGTGGCGGTAAGGCCGAGCTTGCAGTGCGCCTGCACCATAGTGAGGACGCGACGGAACATCTTCGCTGGGATTGTATGCACCTGATAAAAGTAATAAGTTGTCTGAACAACAACTACGAAGTAAAGGTCGTGGGAGTCAATGTGGGTTTAAGAAGTGACTAGATATAAGCTTAAATCTCGAAAGGATCCATTTTCACCAACGAAAGTGCAAGAAGAGCGCCAAACTTAAGAAAACAAACCGGTGTATTTGAAGAAAATTCTAGCGATTCCTAAACGATACTCCCTCCTTATGATCCGTGGCTGCCAATTTTAGCGCTGGCGATAGTGTCACATTACCATCAGTGCAAGGACATAGTGCCCTTAGAACATGTCCCACGACTTTCTTAGTTTGGGTGACCTAAAAATAATGTGAACCAAATTCATCTCCTTGTAAATTCGTTTATGAGTCTCCTTCCATCTCAAAGCAAGCCCAGGGTCAATTTTTACTTTACAAAATCATGATTTGTCGGATATACAACCAGTGAGCAACTAAAAATGAGTAATCAAATAGAAAATATGAAGGATAAGAGTGGGAGAAACAGATCTAAGATGAACAACTAAAGAGAGTCACTTACCTCATCGAGGACCATGAGACCCCACTCCTGGCCCTTGATCCATTCCATGAGACGCTCAGCCTCGTATGAGCGCTTGCCAGAAAAGGCGATCATGGAATAGGTGGAGATGCAGATGCACGTACTCGGAGAGGGACGATCGCGGGCGTCAGAAGTAAATCGAAGAATTTGACTGTCCTCTGCAGTAGACCAGAGCTTGAACTGGCTACGCCACTGCTCTACTGCCACTCCACTCGTACACAGGCACAGTGTCGGCTTGCGCACAGTGCACGCCGCTGTCACACCCACCTGTGCCACAGGCAAAAAACGAAAAATTGAGGTTGAGGACAGTTCTAATCCCACAGATAGACGCGGGAAACTGTTTTAACAAAAGAGAAAGGCGTTCCTTCGAAAATGACTGACAATGGAAACCAACTACTATCGACAATGAAGACGACACCAAAAGCCGTGGATATTAGAAAAAAAAATAATAAGCAAGTGAGACTCCACAAAGCAGGATATTTATAACCTACAGTTAAAAGGCAGTATGGATGCTAACTCTATTATAACACAATCACCTACGGCCGACAAAAACACTACAATTTTGAAGTGAAAAGAGTACGTCATGCATGTCAAGGTAAGATGAGATAGTTGATAGTAAAAGTTCATTCACAGGTCAATATGCACTAACATTAGGCGGTTGTAAAAACATTTCCTTCGCGGAAAGGAAACAATGTGGTTCTGATCTGTAAGGGCACAGCAAAGAACCATTTATAAACAAATCATGGGACCAGGCTGTTGCTGATTGAATAATATGTTGAAGCAGAATGAGAAAGAAGACAGCAAACAGTCCGTCCGATCAACAGAGAACTGAAACTAGTTATGTGTGAACCATTGAACCGTTAATGTCCTAAAAATCAGCACGTCGAAATTCGAAAAGAACTCCCATACTCAAGGGAGAACGATAGGACTGTGAAATTGGGAGGTACACCTGTAGAAGATAGGATTATCGAAGCATGCATAAGAGAAAACACACTAGAGGAGATTAAACAAGTAGTATCAAGAGAACAAATATCATTCTGCCGGAAAAAAATGGACAAATTACCTCTTGAAACAGACCCACTACAACAAAATTAATAGCTATAATATCAAAAGAATTACAGCTTCGGGTTCCTCAGAGGCTCGTAGCTTTGTTTCAAGAAAAGTAACCACTTTGGGACGAGCAGATTATCTGACTGCGTAACATGTTTATGCAACTATTGGAAAAAACGATCTTCCAAACTCAAAAGTGCAAGAGCGTCTGATACAACAGCTGTGCGACAGATAAAGCAGAACGCTAGCTTAAACGCTAGAGTCTATAACAAACCAAAGTATTTTAACCGCTTAAAACCTAGAAGGAGGAGACAGATTAACTAGCAACGTTGGGGTTAAGTTGACATTATTGCCCAAAAGTATCTGAAAAGCGCACAACACACGAGAACTTATTCTTAAAGGCCCTCAAAATAAGCCTGAAATGCTTCATCCAAGAAGCGGAAAACATTTCTCCCAATGCCAGTCATGAAAATCGGTGAGAAACTTTACAAGTGGTTAGGAAATCGGTGATAACACTGTTCGGCGCCAATCATAGTGAATAAACGAGAGATACTTACCACATCGATGTCCACTCAAACAACAGTAAGAAAAATAAAAAAACTATAAGACGTAGATATTGCATTCCATAGTTCGGCCAAAAACAATCATGAAAAGACAGAAATAACAACGTAAAGGAGTGAAATAAGTGATTTCAGTCACAAAGTGGGAATCTAAAATGGGTAGCTCACAAGTGTTTTCCCGGCACCACAAGGTAGTACAATAACTCCAGAGCGCGCACGTCCATTGCCAAACATTTTCCGGAGACTCTTCTCCTGATAGGGCCGAAGAGTAGTGCTTGCCCTCAGGTCCACACTCATATCCTTGTTCAGCTTATCCTGTCGAAAGTCATATTCAGCCAGCAACGGAACCTCTAGTTCGACACACCTCCGCTGCAGACGTTCAATTTCATTCTGCTGCACCTCAATAGCCACTGTCTCAAAGGGCTTCAACTTCTCGTTGCCTTCACCTTCATTTCCTGCTACCACGCTTTTGCCAATATCGTCATCATCCTCCTCACCTTCTCCTTCTTTGTCGCTTGCCGCACCCTCAATACCTAATTTTTCGATATTCAACGCGTCGACATCGCCAACGGAGTCTTCTACGTCCTCCCGAACCTCTGCATTTACAGGAATTGCCTCCATCTCCTCCACCTCCTCCTCTTCTGCATCAATCGCGGCGTAGAGCCTCAGAATATCCTTTAAACCCCCATCTGAAGTGGAATTCTGCGCCTCCACGGTACCATCAACAGAGGTCGCATTCCTAGAAGCATCCATCGTTTCTACGCCGAGAGCAAGAACAGTGTCAGAAGTATCAAACTTATGCAGTGTCACCTCAGAGAGACCCTCAGCGGTAGGAACATTCACTAAACACTCCTTGATCACCGGGTCTGCAGCGAGTTTCTTTAGGAAGGCGCGTTGATTACTTTCCACGTAAAAGTGTCCACCTCGGAGAACTAGCTTTGCTTTGCCGTAGGAGAGAGTACATGAGCGAATGTAAGCTATTATACCTGGGGGAAGATCGGTTTTGCAGAGGCGTCGGAGGCAGCCGATAATCTCACTGGTGCGAAGGCCCACAGAGACCGCGGCATAGAGGGAATAAGAAGTCAACTTGTATTCGTGGATGTGTTCAGGACGGCAAACAGGTTCAGCAATAGCGATGAGAAAATCTTGCGCCTTGTTGGCAAGAGGACCAAAAGTTTCAAGAAAGATATGGCCATCTGGTCCAACCCAAAGCGGACGAGTAGGGTGGTCAGAACGGAGGGTGAGAAGAGCACGGAGGTCCTTAGCACCGAACTCATCACGAGGTGTAGGTTTAACAGTGGTGGCGGCGCCTCCCTGAGTAGGGACACCAGTAGAAGTGCGAGAAAGTACTCGTTTCTCGTCCGCCTCTTCCATCTCCTCATAATCCTCATCGTCTTCGAAATTCGTGTCCATAGTAGTGGTAGCAAAACTGTCATTGCTAGCCTCCTGGTCGCTGAAAGAGGGCTGAAGGTCATTTGAACCGCCAGTTTCATCTAAGCGCTGCCGCTTTTGTGCAGGCCGAGTACTGCGGCGTGAAGTCCGTTTCTCCAGCTTGGGCATTTTCTGAAAAATAAACGACATCCCATAATAACGAGCTTGTGAGAAATCACACAAATTGGTGTGAATGGCAAGGCTGTTGCAAAACTAGCAACCCCAAAATCATGAATTGGCACAGGGGACATAAAACACACCCCAATACTCATAGTATCAAGTGATCATTTGTATAATATACACAGTAATGTGTGTAAAATCACCCAAAGTGCTGAATGAAGGCAGTGCAAATGTAAGCCCCTAATAACAGCTCATGCGCTAATGGACAAATAGGTGAAACAGGTCGGCAGTATTAACAATATAGGTTAAAAGCTCCAAGATCGTGCAGTTAGGTAAATGAATAGGAATTTAGCAGAATGCTAAACCATTCAGCGCATAACCATATTTTCACGAGAATTTATACGCGGAGCAACACTTGTCAAAGAAAGCTCACCATTAGCCATTAATGCATGAGCACAACAACAGGGCATTAAGGCTTCAAAAAAAGGTTGTGAATAACATTCTTAGACTACTTGCAGTTAAGATGCACGTAATAGTTAAATTAGCATGATAAAAAATGACGGAATTCCTAGGCTGATTTTTCCTCTCTCAGGAATCCAAACAAATGTTTTGTTTCCACACACAGAGTTTTGAACTCCCTAAAAAGTAGAAAAAGCATCATTTGGAGCCAAAATAGCGCAATTTAAAAAGAGGAGCCAGTAGGCTTTGGCTTAGTTCAAAGGCCAGCTCACACGTACAAGAGCAAGGTAACTATTAAAGTACCTGCCGGTCATACAGGTGACCACAAAAGCAGTCTCATAACTTCCCAGTTTATTTGCATTATCTGCGTTTCATTAAAAATAACTGTCGAGAGTAATTCGTGCAGATAAAGGTCTTAAAGTACTATAAATTTCACATGTTCTAAGGAATGCGAGTTTATTTTTTCATTATGGATCGATTACAATTTTGTTATCGTGATATTGGGCCCCTAGATGTTCAGCCTGGTAGTGAAGAGCATAAATTTGTATTTAAGGGTTTAAGGTATAATTATAGCTACGGCTCTAGCCTCTCGAGGCTTCCATATGGTGGAAGAAGTGAGGCTGAATACATGTACTCCGAAGACGACGGAGCAAATAGAACCTGGACGTGGCCCAAAGACCAGCCCACATGTACAGGGACCAGACAAATTCCAAAGTGACCGCCAAATGTCCAGTCATCAAATAAACAAAGCATTACAGTGACCAAACCCCAAAAGGCTGAGTTTGACTTGGCCCGAAAAACAGCCTGCACAGCCTATAGTAGGATGCTTATCAAGGTGGCCGCCAGTTACATAGTTAGCCAAACAAGCAAAGCATTAGACTTACTTTTCCCCGATTAGTATTTAATACATCTTAAGTAGAATTCTTGGATAAGTGCGTTGGTGGCAGTGAAAACCAACTCCCCTGTTAAGACTTCAAGGCTGTTTTTCACCATTTGCGACAAACGTCCACATTGTGAATAAGGTACACGTCTACACTTAAAGAGCCCTTAAAGATTCGATAGCAAAAGAGCAAAGAACGACATCTGCATTTAAAATTTTGCCGCGTCCACGTGTCCCACAAATAAGCTATCAACAACTAAAATGACACCGCCGTTAACTGTCTAAAAACGTTTGCTTTGGTGTTCCCTTTACCATATTCGCACATTGATGTTTGTGGTGAATTTCGCCAAGGTCTTATCGAGTGCGGACTTTGTTTGATCTCGGGTCCCTTTTGTACATTCTGTAAGGGACTAGTGCTCCAATGTCTCGATCTGAACGCAATTAACTGCTAACATAAATTCGCACCTCTTGTCTCTGATTCCAGATCGCAATTAAGCCCGAGCCCATTCAAGGCTGTTAAGGGCATTAAGTACAATTTTTTCCCGTTTCATAGCAGCTGATGGCTAGTGCATATGTTTTCTTGCAGCTTGTAAGAATGACGAACACTCTGGTATTACCAGTGACATGGGTTGCTAGGGCTGGCTTTTAAGCCAAACCAGACGCGACCATTTCCGTTTTTTAAATAAAATACAAGCATTCAAATCCTTTTTAATGTCCTCCTATGCCTAGCAGAAAGTACTGAGACAGACTGGCTTAAAGTCCAACTTTAACCAACACGATGATGGTCCATTGTTTAAGCCTCAAAATAAGCTTTGTTCGAATCGAAAATAAAAAAATCAGTGCCATTCGCTTTGTATATAAATTACATAGCCAATATATTTAGTGTAATACTTCGTCTATGTGATTCCAATTTTTGGTCTTGTCAAGGCTCTACCCCAGCTCTAGGTTAAGTTGCTGAAAAGGCTAGTGCAAACTTTCACTATCATGATAGAAGATAAATTCAGCGGCTGGTTCGAATATATTTCGATAGCTGGCAAGGTATACCAAGAGAAGTTCCAAGAACGCAGATCAAAAGAAGGGACGGGTAGTACAATGCTTTGTTTGTGTGACCACCTGGTGACTGACGGTGAACCAAGGTGCATGGTCTTGCTCTCGTACTCGAAGACCCACTTTTAGGGCAGGATAGGGCCAAAACTCTTTTTCTTTTGCATTCTGTAATGCCTTGTTTATGCGAATATCTGACGTTTGGTGATCACTTGGGGATTTGTTTAGCCCTTGTACACGTGGGCTGGCCTTCGGATCATGCTCAGGCTCACTTGCTTTGCCCTATTTTGAACGCTACATATTCTACTTGACGAAGTTTTAAGCTCTTTTCGGGTGCATATAGTACGCGAATGTGTTTAAGTTGGTCTGTATAGGTAAGAGGTGCGAAAACAATTCGAGCACGAATCCGATTCGTGAGGAGCGTGAAAGGTCTGTTTCAGGATGAAAATTGCTTTGTGTCCCATTAACCATTCTCCATCTCCTCTCCTTCTGCACATGATGCCAAATAAGGCCTCTTCAATTAACCCTCTCCTGAAGTCTAAGGCAGGCAGGCAGTTCCTACGATACAAATTGTGACCTCTTCGTTAATGTACTTATTTATTGTCTTACTACAAGTCATGGCTCCTAATTTACCATAGCCATTTAAAATTCATAATAAATACATTGCGACAGTATACAGCTTAAATAAACACCTAACAGCCTCAATTTCCAAGTTGTTCTTGGATATTTTGGGTGTCTAGAAAATGTGGGCCTACTCAAGTTTACCTTTACATGACAGAAAATAAAGTGGTTTCACTTATTCGTTTGCTCCTATATGTGCCAATTAAGCATGATGTACTCAAGTTTTCTAACAGTACTACAATGAAGCAGTCGTGTTTAGCTGGACAAAATGAACGCTCGAGGGGCGTTTGTAGGTGGTAATACGAAGACACAAGGCTGTTGCGGTGTGTTACTCTGCGGTATTTGTATGGAGTCGAAACGCGTGCTTTCTATACAGAGCCATGTTGTCCATGGTTACGTAGGAAATAAAAGCGCACTCTTTCCATTACAGGTTCGCTTTTGTCGTAGTCTAACTTACCTTCTTAATTAGCTTCATAATTTCGAAGTCGACAGCATCAATTCCGTCCAACTGTCATGTCATACCCGTACTCTATTTTACAGCTTAATACCCTTCAGAATATGCTCATTGTACTGGTCAAGTTTTGTCTTCGGAACATTTGAAGTCGATATATGACTCGTTGAGACTCAATGGGTCCGCAAGCTATGATGCTCTACTTACGGGATATGTTGGCGATCCAAATTTGCTGATACAACTGGCTGAAATCGCTGCAGGAATCAAATCGGCTACTCCGCGTTGTCGTTTCTGTATAATTCTCTTATTTTACTTCACTTCCTAGATTGTGATCCTGTTATTGGTGACAATGGTCATATCGTAAGTAGTCCCCGTATTTTCAAATTTTTCTAGTATGTACCAAAAGACTTGGTTCCTATCTACAGGGAGAAGATCTTGCCAATCGCTGACGTTTTATTGCCTAATCAGTTTGAAGCCGAGTAGGTTTCCATATGATTCGCTTTCACTTTATTTAGGCTTCTAACTGGATGCAAAATTACTGATGAAGACTCTGTATTTCATTGTATTGATGTGCTTCATTCGACTCATAGCATTCCTACAATTATCCTCAGTAGTACTGAACTATTTTTTGAGGATGAACAGGGCCTTAAGCAACTTGCCACTTACATTAGCTACCGCCCAGATCTTGCTGTGCTGCGGAAACGTGGCGAATTCAACGGAGACTTGTGTCAGAAAGGCAAAGAAACTTCTGAGATTAAATCATTCTCTATTTGTGCTATATTGCGAGTGACTCGTGCTTTCTTCTTCTTTTAAGCTCAACGTGTTCGCGCCCTATACCCCAAATTGGAGGCCACATTTTTTGGCACTGGCGACTTGTTTAGCAGTTTGACGCTGATATACTTTGAAAAACACGGCGGAAACGTTGACATTAGGGTGTGTTCTAGTTAGTTACTCTTGCTTACTTTCAATAATTTTGCTAGTGTAGTAATTACTACTGCGTCCTTGACATTTCGGCTCTGTTCAAATGGTCCTATAAATTTCGACCTAAGTAGGAGAGTAATAAAGACTAGTAAAATTATGGGCAAGGACGATAATATTAATCCCACTAGATTAAGAGAGGCAGCAAATCGTATTGTGATTATATCTGTAATTTGACGCCACGGCAATGTTAAGATCATTTTCTTTTCGTACTAATAAATTTGCCGAATATTTATCGACATACTGACAGCAATGAAAACTTTTGTTACGACTGAGCTGCTTGTGCTTCAATTTTTCTTCTAAGGTTTATCTTCATTGCTCAAGTAATTGGTTATTCGTTTTTTGCATACAGAAGGCGCTCTACAAAATTCAGTGTACAATGCATGCTGTTCTCAAACGGACGTTGGATTATGCTGAAAACCTTAACTCTGGTCAGCCAGTTGCTAGTGATTTCTTTCATTTATGTATGGTGTAGTTCAATTGCTAGCCTTTGGAGGTTTGCTGGGAGTTGTTGACCCGTCTGTTTGACTACTGTAGATTCGGAAACCCACATTAGCCACATTGTTTCTAGGCGGGTTAGAGGCAACTAACAGCCAACAAAATCTGAAACTTTTCAGTGGTGAGATTATCAGTGCTGTTACTAATGTGGCGTCCCAACAACTCTTGAAAATAGCGATGTTATAAACTGAGGACCAGGTTGTATGAGTAACAGAAATAGGAACCCAAGTTACCATCGTAAAGCTCAGGTCACGGAGGACATAAGAGGTCGCTAGAAACATATAAATGTTTTGCCCAAGTATCGTCCTACTGCAATGCTTTCCACATTTGCTAGATCCCGCTAACATTATGCAAAAGTCTGACCGATACGAGTTGAGGCTCATCCAGAGCGCAAAGGATATCCTCGATCCTCCGGAGTACGCCTCCATTCAAGTAACCTCACTTCAGTGATCGTTGTCTTCTCCTACCCCACACTCCTTGTCAGTTTGATTCTATATTCGTAGTTGATTATTTTTCACCGCCTTTCTGTGACTCCTGATCCGCCTTTGCGGTTGTAATAAGACCTCATTGTTATTTGCAATATGTAAAGACTAAGGTGTGGGTATGACGAACGTATTCTAAAACCAGCCCAATAATTCTGTCAGGACATTAAAGTCAGTTCTGGATAGGTAATGTGTCATGTCATTGTCATTGACTTATGGGGGAGATGAGGAGCTGGGAGCATGGGCGGATGATGTCCATCAGTAGAGAAGGTTGAAGCGTAAGTACTGAGATGTGCACGGAGTTAAGCATTCACTGTCCTCCTTTGGCAATCGCGGCGTAGGCAGTGTGTTGGTCGCCACATAGGAATCAGGTTTCCTAATCAGTGCAATTTCGTTTTTGTTAGGCTGTTCTCGGCCTTTGAGAGCAATCAATCAATGTTGGGGAGTTTCATAATCCTTTTTATATAATTTTGGTAATATTGTCTCGTGTTAGTAATCACACACTACCCTTGAAAATTCTTGAGCTCTTATGGTTTCGTACCATCTGCTGTCATGAACAGTTGTAGAAAGGGTGGCATGACTTGTGACCTCGGCTCAAGCAAGAGCAATGAAGTGCTGTCCGCGTGTGATGTCGGCTGGGATCACGATGTATCCAAATCGCTGTTCTACTTTGCAGTGCTCTCTATGCGTTTGTTCCAGCTGGGCTTCACTATGCTGACTCCGTATTAAAAGCCATCTATTAGCCTAAGGCTTATCCTCTTGTTGAAAATTCGGCTCAGTAAACGCGAAATAGTTGCACCCCGTAGAACATTCAGCAATTAGGGGTAAAAAGTTACCTCAAATCCTCTCCTTATCCGCAAGAAGGCTAAGCTATTCCGTTTGTGCAGAGCTGCTCGTCTGAATAAGTCACCTCCTCAGGGCCTTTTGACCCCTACTTTGTTCACCATTTTGTACGCTGCCCTCGATACAAATTCGCCGTTCGGTTGTGCAGCACATTTAGAACCAACAAGCTTGTGATTGCTGGCACTGTATTGTATTATTGGCATGATTGAGGGACTTCGTTGCTTACCTCGTTCTCTGTCACACATTTGTTTAGGTAAATCGTTTCAAGAGTTCATGAAAAAGTGCTATTATGCCGGTATTATGCAAAATTTTGATAGACGTATTCTACTTGGGTCAACATGGAGCCTTAACCAAAGTGGCAATCACTAGGAGTGAAGGAGTCTTATTCAAAAATAAAAGGGCGTGCCAACTTCGAAACCTCAAATATCTACGGTAAACACTAGGCCGTACAACGATGAAAAAATTGCAAAAAGGGACAATTTCAGAGATTGTCCGTGGTGGCTTTAGGGCATAACCTGCCAACCATGCCATACTTGAGCTGCTACCTTTACAGTGCAAGAGATTCTATAGAAGTTCTCAGTGGAGGTAATGCGTGAATTTTTTCACAGGCCGTCCAAAAAGTGGTTTGGACACAATGCCAAATCTTTTTATGCTAAGGCGGCTTTCAGACGGCAATAGACAGCCATGTTAAGTGCAGCAGGGGACTACAGTAAAAAACAGGTTGTCTTACATTTATTTGGGAGAGTTTTTTTGCAAAGTCCAAAAGTTGTCTTCTGGGTTCAGTATCTCGCGCATGAGCATTACTTGAAGGCCGTCAGTAGTTTGACTGGCATAAGGGCGTCTCCATGTCTGTGTGGATAGGGCTCGAAGAATTTCCTATGCATCAATAAAATGTTGGGAAACGTTATATTCCTTAATTTGGTCACATTATACCTATCGAATGTATAGCAACAAGGAGATCCATTCTACCCTGCTAATCACAGCGCAGAACTAGTGAGAATTAAATATCATCTCAATAAAGTAGGATGTACAAGTCAATTGAAGCGAACTAACAGATTAGGAAAGCCTTTCGGAAAACAAAGAAATCCCTTGAAAGACAAATAATTACTGAGAGGTAGTAGTTTTTTTGAACTCCTTTTACTTCCTTGGTCAAGTCGAACTCGGTGCAACAAAAATCGCAGCAGTACGCAAGAACGGCATGGTTCCTTAATTCACTCGAAATGATCTTTCGCTTTAATCAACGTGACTATGCCTAGAGAAGCAAATATTTTGGCATTAATTTACAGATTAAAATCACATAGGCAGACGAAGTAGTGGCATGTCATACACACCTGTCACTCTTAGTAGTGGTAGTAATGCTTTCCAAAAACGCGACCAAAAAATAAAAAAGCTTAAGTGAGGGGTTCTCGCTTGGAACGGCGAAGTTGAATTGGAGCAAAAAATATAGAATCAGATATTAGGCGATAAATCCTCCTAGCTTTGTAACGTACATCCGTGCCTTCTTGAGCAATAAGGTTCAAATTAACAACTACTCTCGACTTGTAAAGGCTCCGTCCTGTTTGAGTCCATAGCATAAAGTGTAGAAGCCTCTATTTCACGCTGAAATGTGAAATTAAAACATTGATTTGATTGGTCCATGGGAATCGGGCGCCCTAGCATGTGCATCCTTTGTTGTGAATATTATGTTACTGAAAATTATTAGTAGAGTATCTAAAAAAGGATAGCTGATTTTCTCGGCGCCAATTGAAAGCAACTCCTTTTTCTCCAGTATCCCAAAAGGCGGTAGCATTGTTACCTTATGGTTATGCTTCATCACACTTACTGCTCACCTATGGGTCCATTTAAAAGCAACGAATTAATTATTTGTCATCTGTGCAAGCTAAGATTTGGAGAATAATTTATGCGAATGGAATCAAACCACACCTCCGTGTTAACAAGTGTTTAGTAGTGTTGAAGCCCTCATTAAAGTATTTCCAAATTTAACTCTGTGGCCTTTTCTGTTGCCACCGTTTTACCAGTGGTTAGAGCTATCGAATTCCTCCCTTTGTCGCATTGCTTCAGAGCTTCCGCTCAATGAGACCGTAGTCTCATATGAGTGCTACCTGCAAAATGCTTTCTAGATTACCTCGAGCATAGTCTATCATAATTGATGTCAGTTGCATAATGCAAGCGTGTGCACTGCTACAGGATTGCAGAGCCAAATTGACACATCACCAACACAATTGTTCCTTTCAACTGATATTACGTTTAGACTATTTTTGGCCATTATTTTAATGCACCAATTTCAAGTTTATCCACTTCGAGAAAGATGCAGAAGAGCTATTCCTCATTTACTTAATTAGTGCTTTTCCATGGATATCATAGGCGGCTCCTAACGAACCCACACGGGTGGATTGCGAATACTTTCGCTTAAGTTGTCATTGTGTTCCCCTCAACTCCCAATTGCCGCCTGAATTCACCACCGGCTCTCTCTTTGTAGTGCAAACACCTCTTCTCCACCACCAATTATGATCACTGTCCCACAGAAAGTAAAACACACTCCCTGGACTGGTTTTGCTTTTCGTTGCTAATGTTACACGTCAGAGACTACACCTTTACCATCCAATGTAAACACAATGCTGAAGCGAAAATTGACCCTAACCGTCGCACCCCACTTGTGCCTACGAACACGCCGTTACAGATGAGGCTTTAGCTCACATTAACTGACCACAACATTTTCTAGGGCATATTTTCTGTTGATTTATGAAGTCATTTGTGATTTTTCTCACTTAATTTGGTAAGTGTTCTTTCATGTCAGTAAATCAACCAAACGGGCGCTCACAAGCCGCGATTTGATTGGCTGACAAGAAAATTCCCACTAATGGTAAACACAACCGTTTTCAAGTGGGATCACGCATAGTAATGGAATTAAGCTAATTTAAAGAAAGGTTACTTCAATTTAGATTATATTCGGTTGCAAAAATTAGCTTATGAAATTTCGACGACAATTGTCACATTAATTTATTTCATTGGTTTCATGCTTGAAAGACGAAACCTTTGTGAAGCTAAGACTATGCACATAAAGTTATCGGCCTAGTTTAATTTCAAATTTCAACATTTCTTGTCCCACTTCTAAGAAGAATTTCCCACATGGTTGTAGCGTCCCTAGACTTCCCATAGGGTGGAAGAAGGCATAAGTGAGAGTGAAAGTTAAAACGGAGCTTGAGCGTGGCCCGGAGGCCAGTCCACGTGTACAGGGACCAGACAACTTCTAAAGTGACCGCTAAACGTCAGATAGTCACATAAACAAAGCACTACAATGATATGCATGAACTCCTCTCAACCTGAATCACATATGTGTTATTTTCTTTACTAATTTATATCGAACTCCAAATGGTGTTAACAACACGGGAAATGGAGAATGCTTCCACTCCAGTAAATGGCGTTTGGTGCCACTTCGCCTCGCAATCGGCGCCCAAATTGCTGCGCTTAATTACTGAGTCAGCAATAGAATTTCCAAGTTTTCCTGCTAACTCGATTACCAACTTATCGTCACACATCTAGCTCGCCTCAGTTCAACCACGCGCCAAGCTTAACTGTCGATGCGTTAATCCCAGAATCAACCTGAAACTATTTTGAAGTAATATGAGACCCCGTTTGGGCTAGTCGCCTTCATTGCATGGGGCTTGTCAGTTCATGTCCCCTACCAGGAGCATGAGGACACGGCCATAATATGGCACCATCTAACAAAAAATCGCCTGGGTCTTACTGACTATCTTTTTAGGTAAGGCATCTTGATAAGGAAATACTTTTCAATTAATTGAAAAAAAAAGTGGAGGTCGAGTCAAGTTTATCAAATAATTCATTGCGTTTTGTTGCATTACTTTAAAGAAAATTTTTTTATGGGAATTCGCACAATTCGCGAATTTCAGAACGTTCACGGAAAAAAAGAAATCGCAAAGCACTGTATCTAAAAAAGTTATAGCTACTGCTTAATACGTTTGCAGACTTGCTCTCATTTTCACCTACTGCGTGATAAATTTATTCACAAAAATGAAATTAATTTGAAGCATTGCTGAGAAAAATCGCTTTGAAAGCCACTTTAGCATAATATGAAAAGATGGGAATCACCATATGCAGCACCACCGCTGTAGATGGGAAATCAGGTGTGATTGACGTACGCGGCTCTTGAGATCTTCTATTCACTGGTGCTGGCGTCACACTCTGGATGTCAGTTTCGTGACATAAAAAACCTGTGGCCCAATACAAAACACACCAACTTAGACTTGCTTGATGGTGCTCTAGAGAAAGGAGTCAGCACAACATACAACGCTATTGCAATGACAAATCAGACAATGATTGTGCTACTGCAGTTCTTCGCTACACTTAACTTACCTTTCCTGAGCCACTAGACCTTGAAATTATGAGACATTAACGCCCTTCTATCGGAACCCTGGCCACTGTGACACATCTACGCGGCTCAGATCACCGACGCGTAATTTCAGCCTAGGGGTGCAACCAGATGCTCGGCTAAATTAGGCCTCAAAAGTAGCTACCGCTTTGGCATTACGAGTTCATCATTTACGTTCCCGACTCCAACTGCAGCATTGTGTCACGAACTGCCCCAAAATTGTTATATTACGCAAAAGCATAGAAGTAGAAGCATCTGTGAATCCAATAGAGCCTTGGATCCCACTATGCGAACACCACTTATTCCCTGTAGCAACGCACACACAACATCAGCGGCACGTTATCGAAGAGTCTCCTCATTTACAGCCTGAAGCGTATCCCACACCAAGGACGCCTCCAATGCTCCCCAACGTTGGACATTAACTTGAACTTGAACTCGAAATCTAAATAGATGATGATAAAATTGGTGGCTTTAACAGCTTCTCATTCCAGTCCATTTGCCGCCCATCGTCAAATCCTTTCTCGATCTCCACACCTTGCAACGCTGAAACAACGACTCGGGGTATACACAATCAGAGGATAAATCAGGTGCTGCGGGTATAAGAAATAATTCATTCATATCTCAAGTTATGTGAATATGTGGCATCACTGAAAACGACAACTCTCATCGACGTATTTCGCCCACAAGAGGAGGGAGGTGAAAAGTTGAAGTGGGTGTGCATGAGCGTGAATGTGATTGTCGACAGTGAAAATCCTACATTCCTTACCACGTTCATCTCAAGTACTAGTTGTGATAAAACAGTGCCTATGTTCTGTTACACTGGGACTTGGAGGTAATATAAATGCGGAGGGCTAAAGGACAAGTGTGGATGTACAACCGAGAATTGCGACAAGGGAAGGGTAGTGGGTGGGGGCCTAAGGGGTGGCTTCAAAGTGTTTGTAAATTGAGGCGATGTAAGCCATCACGTGATTCCAATCCGGACGATCCTTCGTAAGCATATCACTTAGACGAAGGGTCGTTGGAATGCCCTGACTCTCCGCTGCCGCGAACGCCACCTGCAATGTAGCACACGTTCGACTTCCTTCATTATCACAAAGACAAAATTAAGAGCCAAAATAACCATAAGAGAAACAGTGAGATCACGTCACGAGAATGCCAGCTGGGTGACTGTTGTCCAACTCTGGAAAACAGGACCAAATTCTCCTGAAAGCTAGACCCAACTAATGGAAGAGAAAATACATAAATGCGATCAGACCATGTAAGGAGCCCACCAATACCGCTTACTGAGAAGCTATGTCGATTTCAGGAAAGCCACATTTCACTTGCTCCAAAGCTCAATACTGGATCCAAACACATTTTTGTACACAATTTAAAGGATATTATCGGAACGTCAGGTAAATTTTTAACCCGACTTTGCAAGTGAATGTCTCCAAACCACGCCAAAAGGGCGCCGCGTCCATACGGCCCCACCACTCGAGACAACCAGTCAAAACATTCAGACATAATTCAATTCAATGCAAAGCTAACGTCAGATGTGGAGGAAAACAGTTCCGAAGTGCATACAGCCTGTGTCCCCGTGTACAAAAGTTGCATCAATTTTCTGATATTGCACTGCCATACGAAGCGAAGCAAATGACCGACAGTTAAGCGTCTAACCACAATTATGCCGAAGAGGAATTCTAGCATTAATGCGACTGGCGCTTTCTTGCAGTTCCGGTGCCTTTTTGACGCCCCTGAACACAAGAATGTACATCTTGCGTCTCTATGACGTCTACCAAATAGTGCCATCTCCAAAATTCGCAAAATATTTAATCCGAAGCATATCCAGACGCACTCCTTCCGTGTGATAGATTAGCTCCTTCTATGCTGTTGTAAAGAGCTGTGAAAAGCTTAAGGAATTGGTAACGAGCAATGTATACCCTCAAAGTAGAACGACTAAATTCACACGTTGCACTTTGCTAATTTGTTTTCTTGAAAAGGTGACATGAGTGTTTATGAAAGCCTGCATGGCAGACTTGTGGCGAAAGGCAGATAAAGAGGACATTTCAGTGGCAAAATAATGTTCCTGTACAGCATAATGAACTGACGATTCGATGCTCGCACCTACGACCATGCACCAGATTCGGTGCATAAATACAAATAGAATGCGCTAATCCACTTCAGACACCCAGATTAATGTTCGACAATAATTAGCAAAATTAAATAACTGCTACCAATAATAATGTTGAATGAGGCACAAAGTAATGCTTTGGGGGCAAAAATAGTGATAATCAAAGGAAAGCGGCATTAATAAGTGGCTTCTCATCACTATCGAACAAAAGTATATTATAAAACGAAAAAAACACTAGAAAAGCCGCTCATCTAATCCCACTTAACAAGATCAAAAAATTTGGCTGTAATTCTCGACTTTTTGCAAGATGTGAACAACTTCAACACCTCGGTGCTTCAGCACTAGTTGCTGAACTCGAGACCATGCAGAATTGACATCGCTTTCTACAAAGTCTGTATCAAAATAGGCACAAATCCATGGCAAGGCAGGTACCGCGAAATCTCCGTCCGAATAGCAGTCAAGCAACGCCGACAGACGGTTTTAAAATAAGCGAAGGTGGGTGAAAGGCTCGATCAAACTCCCACCTATACTGGACCCAATTCGCGTCAGCTCTTGTGCAAACGTTGTTCAAACCGATGATACGGATTTGATGAAAAACCGCAATCACATCTCAATTGAGCCCCTTGTACCAGTCCTACTAAAGTTTACTGACACCAACGCAGCCACAAATCCCTTTTCTGAGTCGAAAGTCCACCAACTCACCACAAGTGTTTTCAATGAATGGAGCTACCGTATCAAGGATGCCATCGTAAATGTTTAAAATTACGAGATATAATTAATGCAGTTTAAAAAATAGCGCCACCATTTATGCAAGAACTACATATAACGAGAGCACACTTCGGCTAACCCAGAATTTATTTGGCTCTACTCGAATTGAAATTTCAGGTCATTAGAATATGATTCACGATAAAATTAAATATATCTCCTCCTCCTCTTCATGTCTCCGTTACTCATTGGATGATGATATAACATTCAAACGCACCTCAAAGCGTCGCTGTTTATCCATGCCATTGACGACTCGCTCCCAGTTGGGTGCAATGAGGTGTGGGAGGAAGGTATGAAGGAGAGCGCACAACGCCAATCCATCGTTCCAGGAGGAGGAGAAGTTGGTCACCTCAACCCCTCGGTATCCTGCCACTCGGCCTTGACACCAGCGCAGCAAGGCGTTGCGCTTCGAGCCCGCGTCTGTGCGCTTTGCCAGCTCGTGCAACGGGTCAGCCGCCATGTCCACTACGACAGCAGCAGCAGCAGCAGAATTTTTTGCAGTCGTAGGAGCAGAAGCGGAGGAAGTAGAGACGTTAGCAGAAGAAGGCACCGAATCACCGGCTGCTGCTGATAAAACACTTGAGACGGCTTCTGAGATTGCCCCAGCACCACTACTCTTAGCGGCGACAGCTGAAGGGGAGGGGGTCGGAGCAGTGAGGTGGCGCTTCAGTCGCGGAGTCGTAGAGGCAGAGGTAGTCGTAGGGGTTCCAGTGGAAGAGACAATGGAGGTGGAGGGAGTGGTAGAGTACTTGAGGAGAAAAGATTCCTTTGCAGGTGAAGTATCGTCACGCGAAACACCAAAAATGGAATTTGATCTGCTAAAAACAGAAAAAGGACTAAAAATCCTTTTTATTAGTCGGTGCATCTCCAACAATGGTCACGAAAACAAAATTTCAATTTCAAATGTTTGATAACTCGGAATAAAAAAAGGATTCTATGGCTATAGTTAAAGCGTAGAAGTAGGACTAAGCAATAAGCAATACTAAGTAGAACATAAAGAAACACCGCATAAATCAATTCTAACTTGCGAAAGAAGGTGCCTTCGGGGTAATATTCAAGACAAAACAGTTAACATCGTCCAAATGGTGTGCATTAAGTTGAGTGCGCAGATCTCAAACCAAATTCGTTCGTGGCTTTTATGCACACTGTCTAAAGTCCCTACGAAGAATGAAAGTAAAATCTAGGAGTTGGTATTTCTCAACAGAACAACCCAGTGATACCAATAATAAAGTTGCTTTCTATTTCTCGAAGCAATTTATGCTCAAAAGGGATGATTCAACAATCAATCCACCCTAAGGCTGCAAACTGCCTTAAGAAACTATTGACCCCTTTTGTGGGTAGTTAATGGTAGGACCACAACTCTCCCGCAGATTGGCCCGTCAGTTAGATTGTGACCGAGAAACGGGCCCCATTTGTTCACTGCCTCAATCAAATTAAAACCAACAGCCACCCCAAACCGGCTAAAAACCAGCATAAGTTAAGAAAGTGCCTAATTGAGAGAGCAAAGCCAAGTAGATAGCGCTGGTGGGTTGTATGCCATGTTTTACTGGAGCTCAGTAATTGGGGAAGGATTGAAAAGGAGCCCAAATGTGATGCTTAAGAGTCCAGCGTCTGCTGCTGTTGCGAGTGTGTGTGAAGAGTGATTCACCCCAACAGTGCATCCAATTTCGATGCCACCACTGCTGCCGCTTCAGCAAGGCAAGCAAACAAGTAGGAGGGTGAAGACACAAGATGTGTGCATCCCTGCACCGTGGCGTGAACGGGGAAATATCACAAGTGCACAGACCGTTCGATATCACAATTTGATCAATCGACCAATCGTAGGAAGAAAGTGACAGTTTTCAAGGTAGCTTAGTGGAGCTCCCTAAGACCACCCCATCGTCTGACAACTTTAGCGGCATGACTAATCCACCCTAGCAACGATACTAAAAGTAGTGCCAACCATTGAAATGCTAAGGGAAGCAGATAAGAACAAGGCTCATAAATCACCAAATTTTTAGACGATCTAAAATGGGTTTCAAAGCAGAAATTCAACTGTAACACTGACTATGAATTAATTGGACTTCAAAAAAATATTGACACGACATTAGCATTAAGGGAGTGGCTGATCACACAAACGCAATGGGTTTCAAGAGTCGAATGGGGTCAGTAAAGAATCCAAAATAGATTCCGTTTGGCGAAACATGCATTCATTTCGACAATGTTTCATAATGCCAAACAGTGAAAAATGGACAATACTACCCACTAAACGACAGCAAAGAATATCTGTCAAAAGATATGAACTTCGACGCCAGTCGAACATGCACAGTGATAGTTCGTAAGCAGGAAGGAAATTAGGAAAAGGAGTAAACAAACTTAGAGATTCAATGACAGCCAATTAGGTAAACTGAAAGCCCGGAAATAAGATTCGGATTGCAAACCACCAATGAATAAGCCTTGATAAATGAGAATTATTTAATTACATGGATGGAATTTAAGGAGTCAATAACCGTCAATCACAACCAAGTGAACCTGATTAATGCACTGAGGAAACTGGAAGTAGGGAGAAATCATGATGTGATTAAACAAAGTCAATAATGTTGGAGAACGTAGGATTTCGACTAAACTGTCAAGATTTTACCTTAACAGCGAAGTCGGAGCTGTCTGAGATAAAGATGGAGGCTGAGGAGTTACAGGAGACGCGAGAGGGGGAGACGTAGGTGGTGGCGGTCCCCCGGGGGCCAGATCGCCAACAAGTGGTTCGTCCAGCAGCGGATGTCGCGGCGCGGAGCGGACAGGAGTTGAGTTGGGACTGTTACCGGCCGAGTGCAACCTACGCGCCGGCAAAGTACTGCAGCTATCGCCACCAACACCACTAATACCGGCATCCCCGACGCTGCCATCAACATTCAGCTTGACCTTTGGACTGGTAACTGGAGAGCGAACTGCTGACACTTTCTGTTGGTGTTGTACAGCCTTTACCTTTACGGAAGGAAGTTGAAATAAGGAAGGGCAAGCGAATTAAAATAGTGAAAGCAAGCATTCGCGTTTCAGACTCGTGACAGATATGTTTTGGGTAAAAAACCCAGCCTCATTTACACCACAAAATTTACTTGGCTTTACAAAGGAAGAAGACCATTTAAAATTGCAGCTGTGACGAAACAAATTTGTTCTCGAGTAGTCAGACGAAAGCTCAGTGATATGTATTACAAGGTGAGGCTGACTTCGATAATGAGGACGTTGATTAGTGCCTTAAGAAGCATGAGAGGGCATGAGTTCATCGGTTCACTAGTTTAACCCCCTTTCATTAACGACACTACCAATGTCGCTGCTATTTTCAAAATAGCTTCTAAGATCAAATTTGTTGGAAAACCCTTGAGGTTTTCTCAAGCCATTAAACAACAAATAAGAGCTTTTGAATGACGATTAGAAAAAAAAATGGAAATACTGATAGTGAAATAGAAAAGGTTAGAAAAAAATTGTCGGACGATCATTGACACATTGTGACACCAATTTCAACGAAGGCATTGCTGAGCTAACGATCATAGCGTACTGAATTAAGCAATCAACTTGAGATGTTTTGTTTTCACTATTTCATCGCAGTTTTTCAGGTTCATAGGGCCATTTTGACTGTGGATTGTCAATTTTTTTGTGGAACAGTGAGAGTTGATAAACAAACTAGTGTGACAGCCCGGGCAGGTGGAAAGGAAACGAATGGGTTGGGCTGGTCAGGGTGTGGTTAAGACTGCACAGACAAAGTGAAGGTTTCAACTATGTTTTTTTGTTATCCTAGCAGTCGAATTCAAACTTCACTAATGAGTCATTCAACTGGTACGAAGGTGTGTACTTGTGTGCGTCCATAAGTAGCCTGAAAGTCACACCAGAAGAGATGTAAGCTTGATGAAATAATTCAAATACTTGGACTAAAAGTTAACATGACTAATGTGGTAACAAAAAATTAGCTTATAGGGACAAAATGAATCACTGAATCACTAGAAGAACATAAAAAAGCGAATAAGTCTTTTAACCTAAGCAAATACATAAAAATTTCGTTGTTATGCAGGCGCCATTAGTGTGCAGAAGGCTAGTTTTCAAAATCTCGAGTGAAAAGGTAATGTCAAACACCAAGTACTCACACTGAACGAGTCGACTAGACAGCATTAAACGCTCATGCATTGCAAAATTACTTGATCAACAAAGAACGACGCCAAATTTTAAACCTTATTCATAAAATAAAAATCAGGAACAAAGTCAATGGTGATCCATTATGACCAGTCTGCGAAATTTTGTGCAGCGACGAGTTAATACGATCTTATGTTCGTGACACAATGTAAGAATAAGAATTGTCCCTTTGATACGAAAAAAGGTGGTCTAACTAAAAACCAAACCATTACCTGGTTCTCAATGGTTTGGATGAGGCTCTGGACAGTAGGTCCAGTGCGTCTAATGGCACCGACACCACCACTACAGCCACTCCCAACAACACTGCTGCCAGGTCCACCAGGTGAAACAGTGGTAGAGGCGGGATTGAGACCCAGTTTCTGCATGTAGGTAGTGCGAGGTAAGTGCTGGAATGGTGTCACGGAAGTGACTGCTGAGGTAACTATGGTGGTGGATGCAGGTGTGGTTGCATTTGTAGGGGACAAGGGTGCATAGGACGTCTCCGTTGGTAAGGTCATTGTGCCCACGCTTTTTGTCTCCACACGCGGTAGCGGTGGTGGCGGTGGTTGGGATGGTGGTGAGAGAGTTTCGGTTGGAGGCGGTGAAGTGTCTTGGTGTAGAGATGACTTGGAGAGCTGATCCCGGAGATTTGTGCTTTCTTGAAGTGCGTTCTCGAGGTCTGCTGACAGACGTTTCACCTATGAAAAAGAAATAGTTGTTAATCTGGTGATACCTTTAACAGTGAAAGCAAAGTCAACACTGGTTAATGGAAAATGTAAACGCTACAAGTTTCAGTTTTGTGTCGAAGGAAACGTCAAATCATAAGATAAAATAGCTCAAGGAGGTTCAAGGAACTGCGATGCAACCGCAAAATCGCACATCGCAACTGCGTAGGGACATTAAGAACGCCTCTACCAATACAACCGGTCATGCATATCATGACTACGATTGCTTGGGTTTAGCTGGTAGTAGGTTCGAAAAAAATGAGTTCGCTTAAGTTTAAACCTGATGCCTCGATGACTACTCAACACATCTGCTTCCATACTCCTAGATGGAAGTCAAGCGCCACAGCCCCGTTATGACTAAAACATAGACAGAGTAGATCAACTTGTGCTCCAAACATGGAAAGCGAACTGGTTTTCCAGTCTATAACAGAAAATGTAAGTTGTTGCAAACGTGACTAAATTAGACACCTATTATCTTGGATTTAGGACGTAAATCGTGAATATTATCTTGGAGATGTTAACTTACCTCATTGGTTGGGTTTGGGAAAATGAATAAACAGCAATTCCGCGATTCGCTTTCGAGAAAGCAAAATCAACCACCGAAATACTGCACAAGGTAATAGGCGCCACTATCGACTAACAAATTGCCATTGAAATACCAGAGGAACAATGGAAAAGATTCTCATGCAAATAGAATATTAACTAGACGACAAGGCGTTGTAAATCTAGTACCAAGCCAATTTCCGTTAATCTATGGTTAAAATCTCAAGTCGAAACAGTTTGTTTACGGCGTTGTGGTGCCGAAATCACACAAATTTGTTGTGGAAGTGTTGATACCGAAACCAAACGGTGAGTCCAAGACGCGAATTGTAGAAATCTTGGTTTCAAGATGAGAAAAAAACTTTACTAGGATGAAAATATCGGAAGCTATACGTACCACCCCTTTAAGCTTAAGACCAATGCCGAAAATTGTAAATCTGATCAAAAGAGAAGAATCTCTTGGGCTATTGCCACCGAAGGGCATCGCAATATTCTCCTGTAACTGAAGGCATACTTCCAGCTTAGTTTAAGAAAACAATTAAAAATCGCTTGAAATTGCCCCATTCACCAACGTGTACATGGAAAAGACACTAGTGTGTCCCAGCTAGTTAGTGAGATTGAAAATACATGATTCACAACTAATGAAATAGCCAAGCATAAAAATTGTTATACCTCAAGGTTCGTTTCAATAACTCGATAATTGGCTGACTGATCGGACGCAGGAACCGAATTTTATTTGATATGCTTGAATTCTTCCAGTTCAAATTCATTGCAAATAGCTAGTTTCTCTCACGCAAACACGACTGGAAACACCATGTGATCCAACATCACACTCACAATCAGTCGCGTGATTGAGTAGAGCTTGACTGCGCTTAATCTTGATGTCACATTAAATCCCTCTGAAGGAAAACCAAAAAAACCGACGCACTCTAACAGTAAAATTGAGGAGAGAAGTATTATGGCGAGATATCGACGACCAACCATTCGATCGTCACCGCATGACACATTGTAAATCAGCAATTATCACTCTCAGGTACTTGTCCAAATGGCACGATGACCTTACACATGACTAGGTAAGTGACCGACCAACCGGCAGCCAAGCCGTCAGCATGGTATTCACCTCGTCCTCCTTCGCTTCTTATTTTTCCGGTGCTGTTTCTTCAAACATGTGTGTGTCCTCAAAACACTTCACGAACACGTGCGCACACGAGAATGTGCGAAAACCCACTACCACTGCTATTACTATCTCCATTGCCACCTACTGCCACGAGTCGTTAGTGTGCTTCTTTGCCTGAGGATAAGGAATGGGTCGCTGCCTCGTGTCCATGTATTTATGGAAGGCATTGGTGCATACATGCATTTGCACAGGCGTGGGAAAAAGTCGAAATAGAGACGCATTACTAATTGCCTCAGTAAAAAAGATAACAGAATAAAGTGGACCTAAATGAGTGATTCTCCTGACACAGCCGCTTCTTAGTCAGATGTGTTCGATGGCATAGTGTCTCAGCCCTAAGGCAATTCGCAACTCAGAATGAAATAAAGGATAGTAATTTCAATGTGAGTTTCACGAAGAGTTCACATAACACTGGAAATGTTGTTTGAGGGCAAAGGATCCCAACTGGCTCATATATGCTTCAAATAAAAGATGTCATACAAAGTGATGAAGTTTCGAAGCAAATCTGACCCAACGCCATGCCCTGATGGCTCATTAAATTTTGCGGGATGGCACACAATCTAGAAGCGAAGAAAGAATTGCTTAATGAGCCTCGAATCAGTCACCAAGATGAGACTGGAGTGAACAAAACCAGATCGTAAAAAATGTGGTTCTTGAATACATCCCAGCAACTGTCACGGAAAATTAACGCCTCTTGCGGATACCAAAGACAAGTGAAGAAAAAGTTCAGTTGAAGTTGCTTTAAAAGCAAATGGAAAGACTCCGAGCCAAAGCATAATAAATTGATGTAAACGCGTTTCCAACAAAAAATGCAAATTAAAATGAAGAATTAGGGACCAAGTTTTGAACTACTAGATGAGTTCCATAAAATATAGGTGAATCAAAGCTTCGAAATGTTACTGTCTAAACTCCTCCGACATTAAAAAACAGAGTCGAAACTAAACCTTCAAAATCTACGTTATTATGAAGCGAATGCCAGACCGAGCCTGAAATTGTTCTGAACGTTGTTATACGCAAGATTTTAACGAAAACTAAAGTTGAACATTGATGTTCAAATTAGAATAATTGGGTAAGAAACTTGTCGAGCAAGCATACAAAAAGGGTTCGTTCGTCATTAGATGGACTAATCGCTACTAACGACAGTTAAAAAATTCGCCTTTGAAAGCAGGGGTGAAGCAACTTAAAGCAAATTTTCGTCAAGAACTGCATGCAAATTTCACTGCTTCCAAAGCCCTAACTAATAGTTTGATTACCCACAATCAAAGAAAGGTTTTTTAAGAAGAATGGGTACAATTGGAATTAGCGAGTCATTAGCATAAAGTACACCTATGAGAGCCAAATCTGCATGCAACAGAATAAGGCGAACTGAGCTGGAGAGGATGAAAGAAGGAGAATAAGAAAGCACAGGAAAGGTAGCAGTGAGATAAAAATGCGATCGTCATTTCACCCATACCCAACATACGGGCGCGGTGTCCGATGTTCACATAACCGGTCGTTAACTTGGTCTTTCGATGGCAAACAAATGAAAACCTCCGGGAGCTTAGTCTGCTAAAGCAGTGCCACTACCATTAATAACATCGTTGTCTGAAGTAAGTTGACAAATTGGAAAGACAGGGAAATGAGCTCATTAATCTCCAGAATGGGGATACTGATTAGCATGTAGGTGCATATATTAGTGGACGATAGGAAAATGCGACCAAATTACGCACCTTCGATGCATTTGCATAGCAAATGGGCTTCAATCTTATTTAAAAAGTGCCAGAACTATATATTTACGGCTGAAAGAAGGTCTATTACAAAGCTAACTAAAAACTTTGATGACAGGTTCTAATAATCTAGATACGAATAATGTTCGCCTAGAACGGAAAAATTCACTGAACAGACAAGACGATTGAAAAAGACCAAGTTACTTGTGCTTTCGACGAGTGCGTGAGTGCACGTGCAAGTGTTAACGCACTCCCATCCAGCGGTAAAGGTGACGAAAAAACAAAAGGCAAATAAGCTCAGCCAGTCCAAAAAAGTACACCTCTAGCAGAACATTGTAAATGTTTGCGCTGGGATGCCGAGACCCTAGGTAGCCCCTCACTTGAGGGTGGTTAACGTTACCCACCAGATGCGAAATGCAACTTTGATAAGTATTGAATTTACGCAGAACAATGCAGACTAAATAAAGAGAGACAGCTTCAAATCGACAGACAACTCGAGACTTTCACTGTTAGGTTGGCAATATCCATGTGTAGCGAAAGACTCAAGTCTTGACAATCGATACCGTATGCTGTTCTGCTAAATGTAAAAACAATGGCTAGCACTTCAGTGGAGAAGTGACAAATTCGGTGCTAAAAGAATTTAAAGCAAAATTTATGAAAATATTAATATTCAATGCAAATTTAGGGTTCTTTGATGAGATCCATTGTTAGTTGTCTTTAGGTATCAAATTAAATACCTAATACCAGACGCTCGCTTCATAATGCAGGACAGTCGATACCAGCAACAATTTAATTAACCAAAATCCTGGTATCCACACCACTCACCTGGTCCCGGAGCTCATGAGTCTCTATGGTGATGCGCGCAACCTCAGCTTCCGACTCCATCCTAATTCCATCTGCAACCTGCACTGTCTTAAGGAGATGCCTCTCGTGGAGTCTTAACTCAGTGACCTCCCGCTCATGCTCTGCCACCTCCTGCTCAAATTTCTCTCTCCACGATGCCACCTGTCGCATCAACGCGTCCACTTGAGCCGAGAGCTCCGCCTCGGGCTCTGTATTAACATTGGCCTTCGCCACTAACGTCGTCACATCGTCACAAGATCCTACTGTGACAATGACTGCCGCCTCTTTTCTCAGTCGCTCTACCTCCTGAGTCAAAGACTCTATCTTCTCACTGAATTGGCGACACTCCGCATCCAGCGACTCACAACGCTGAGCCAAGTCGTTGTTTTGTGTCAGAAGGATCTGTTTCTCCTCTTCCACTGAAGCGTAGAGTTCCACGTAATGCGCTTCCCTCGCATCCCCACCAGATACCGAGGGACTGGTCACTAATAAGTGCTTCAACTGATCAATCTGGAGGCGGCAGTGCTCCAACTTAGCTGTTTGTGTGCATAACGACTCAAGAAGGATGGCCCGCTCGAAGGCCAAATTTCGATTCTCTTCCTGTGTCTCGTCCAGCGTCCGCTGCATTTCACATAATTCGCCCATCGTCGCTTGCAATTCCTCAGTTGTTGTGTAATTTGCCTCCTCCATCTCGTGGATTCGGTTCTCTAAGTTCGTAACTGAGGGGGGCTTGGCCGTTTCTCCACCGAAAAGGCTTGACATTCCAGAGACTAGACTCTGTTGATCTGAAGTAGTAGTTCCTGAGGTAGCAGATGGTTCTGGAAGTGGTCGTGAGGAAGAGAGGCAGGATGAATCCTCCTCAGGATCAGCGTCTCCTATTTTCCGTTTGAGATTATGAGAGGCCTGTCGCTGGACCAAAGCCTCTGCTCGCTCCTTTGCCTCCCGCAAGTTGCGGACCTCAAAGGATAGGCGTTCAATCTCTATTTTTCGCGACTCTGTGAGCTGAGTAAGCTCTGAAATGCGCGCCTCATACTGCTTTTTCTCCTTTTCAACCCGAGAGAGAAGGTCAGAATTGACGTAGATACGATCACCGTTCACGGTGTTGGAGCCGCCAGAAGCGGAGGAATTGGAATCACGAAGAACGGCGGATGGAAGGGCTACGGTTGATGCAGGTTTGCGAGCGGAGATCCTCCGTGATTTGGACTCTTTGATAGAATCGTGTGAGTCCAGAGAGGTTTGGGAGTTTGAGCGGGGAGACTTGATGTTATGACAACTGGAGGACTTAAATAGGGCAGGTTTGGCTCGAGGAACGGAGCGCGAAAGAGGACGAAGGAAAGTGCCCGAATCAGGATTGGAAGGATTTACAAGCGATTTATTGATGCGCGGTGAACGACGAACTATTGCGTCGGGAATCTGAGGTGTGGAGTTCTTTTGGGCTGTGCTTCGCTGTACAGCTTTACCAGCCATTGACATAGTGCCGTTGCATTAGAAGTAAAAAATGACTAAAAGCAGAGCAAGTTCTGATGGTAGATATCAGCTGTTTTCAAAAAAAATTATGACGCTATCTATACAAACCCTAATCAACTAAAACAGTTCAACTTAGGAAGAGCTAGTGCTGAAACTATTTCACAAAAATAGACTCATTTGGAGGAGACAAAAGAAAAAAAGCGGAAGTGTGTATTATTCTATTTAAAATTCAGACGAAGTCATTGCGAATACCCAATTCAGTGGAAAAGCACCCAAAATATTGAGTAAACATACATTTACAGTCTAAAATACAGACGAACGGACTTCAGGGGTCGAAATCTCGCAAAACAAAATTACGCAGCAACCCCGGCCTGGTCTAACCAATAGTAAATCGGATCAAATCGTGATAACAGTTGCTATTAAAGTAGCCGCCTCTTGGGCAACACAGAAGAACCAGTACTTACTCAAAGATTTTAAAACAGACAGTTACTCACTTTCAAGATTAGCTAATAGGTGTAAATGAAATAATAACACAGAATATACCCTTTAATACTACTTGTATACCTCTGAATCGATAACACTAGCGTGAAAACGCAAATAACCTTCTAGAAAATGGTACATAGAATGAACATTAGAAATCAATTTAAACGTCATACTATCTTAGCATGAGAACTGCTATCTTGAATACACGCTCCCCAAGTAGCCTTTCCTTTATGGATGCCGAAATAAAAGGTCAGGAGAACAGACTGTAACATATTAAAGTACCTCGAACAACCCTAATCATCCGAGCCAAAACATTTACTATACTTCTACTCTTATGGCCCTTAGTACAAGCTCGCTATCCTAGTTGTTGTTAATTAAGCAAATTGCAGGTCCTTTTATGAACCCACTTCTTAAGCAAACACCCGCAATCGCACGATGGTAAGAGAGTATGTTTGCAAGAAGGGGAGAATATTTTTGTGGCTTTTATGAAATCAATAATGGAAGCAATGGCAGATAATAAGGTTGCAAATGATTCGAAGTTAATAATTTTGGTCTTCCAGTGTTCCCTGTAATCTGAAGCGACAATAACTCATTTAATTACAGACTTACAGGAGGATCAAGGAGGATGTGGACTATGGAGATGCAGATTGCTGCTTTAGCTGATGCAAATGAAGACCAAAATAGAGGCTCAAATCCCATCGTGTTACCCTCTATCACCGAATTTCCTAATGCATAAAATTAGCTCGTTATCAATTTGATCTATGCTAACACAATTTCAGTTAGCTGGTTCAGAAAACAGTACCATTGCCTCCTTGATAGCTTTGAGCTTTTAATCCCTTTTCCTACTTCCAAAACTTAGATTTTTTATGCTTAGTTCGACCTGGGCTTACGAATAGATCATATTCCGAACAAAATAACAGATCAGTGTCAACTGGGAACTTGAAGCTTTTATGCTTGTTGCTATTCGTCAGAAGTTATATGATGTTTCCTTCACACAAAGCTCTTCAAAATTGTAGGCTTACTCGCGTTGAGTAGAAAAAAGCCAACAGCTACACCGCCCAAAACTGCAAATGTATGTCACAGTGCAAAGTTAATTACATCAGGTAAGTATAAAACCATTGTCTATGGGCAGAACAAGGCATGGAATTGGGACATAACGACACAGAAAGAAGTGATCATGAAGAAAGACGTTTGTTTGTTCCTTTGCTTGGCAGACCTAGGGTTCGCATGTACATAAGTTGGGGGAGGAAGGAGGCGAGAACTGCAGGTCAATAAGCAGGCTGTACCGCTTTTTCTCCCTTACGATATCACCGCCATCACCACATTTGTTCAAAATCACAGCACTATGAGCAACCAGGTGGAAGGTTCTCTCGACCACCCCCTAAAATTGAAAGAAACTTTAGTTGAAGTGGAGGAGTCGACATTTCCCTTTCCCCCTTTTGATCGTTGACTCGCTTTCTTCCCCAATTTAAGGTGGCACGATTACTTCCCCAGTACCTACATTTTTGACTCCGGAAGGCTACGAATCTGATATACATGAAATATAGTTTGGTGAGATGACGTTGCTCATGCGACAGGAGTTAAATGGCGCTCTTAATTCGTTTAGAAGACAAGTACACTGGCCAGACACGACCACTGGGTGTGGCGTCTGAGATTGAACCATCCAAATGTGGTTTGGCCATAGTTAAAGAGAAGCGCAGTAGGAGTGCAAATCAATTAAAAACAAGATATTTGTCCAATCAATTAATGACCCAGTCTTCAACCTACGGGCATCAGAAACTACCCCAACGACAAGCTAAAATCTTGTCGTCTTTCCTAAAAAGTGGTAAAGAATGAAGGAAAAAGGTTACACTGACACTGTTGTTTTCCTTATAACTGCCTTAGCTACAGGTGTTATACACACTGGTTGATTAAATTGCTGTTTGAGGAGACAGACGGGAATGCAATTCAAACTCCGTTCAAGAGGAGCCCGAAGACCTTTCCTAGGGCTAGCTAGTTTGATAGTTTGAGTCTATTTCTGCTCCCTTCGATTGTACCTACATAGGAATACCTAATAAATCATCATTGAACCACCACCCTTCTAAGAAGGCCGAAGTGGAGGACGAAGAGAGTGGGAGAGAAGGTACAACAATAGAAAACTCGAATCAGCACAGTGCTTTCGTATATCAGACGAAAATTTTGGAAGCTGCCAGTTCTTTCAGTCATAAAATGTCAATATTCAGAGAAACATTATCAAGGCTTGAGATTCTTCAGCCTTACTAGCTCACTCCCGAGTTACATAACAAACTGCAAAACGCAAATAAGAACGAGCACGCATGCTTCGGGGCGTTGAAATGAGTGCTCCCATCGTGGATAATTAAATCGATGATTCCTGATTTTGTTGCATAATCTTTAGAAAACGACTGGAATAAGGCTCATGGTGTACTTTCATTGGTTATGAAATGTCAGTCTCTCTAACTTGAGCTGAGTAGGCATCCTTTTCGTTCTAGCTTTTCATTGTGACACTTCTTAGGTTTTGCCCTACTATGTCCCCAAGGTGGCAGCAATGAGGTCGCCCTAGCCTGGCGCTGAAGGTGAAGCTGCATCCTTATTTTTGTGGAGTTTGAAGGCATGATTCGGATACACTCTAGCTTCGTGAAACTTGTCGAACTCTACGAAAGGGCGCATGAAGAAACTTGTGCTAATGAAGTATGCTACCGATTGCTTAGTTAGTCGAACGAATTCCATTGCAATGGCTTGGTTCACGCAGATTGTTTTCTTTACGAATCAAAGGCCGGGTTGTAGTTTCGCTTTAGGAGCTCTCAACTAGAGCCACACTTACGCTGGATGTAGTAGAAATTTTTAGGTGCACTGGTTCCGCTGGGAGCATCAATGACGATCTGCACCCGCAGCGGACCCAGCAGTGGCGCTGACTGGCCGTCATAGGGAGGTACGCAGCAGACCAGGTGTGACTAAAATAAGGAGGACACAAAGTTATGGAAACACATGGAATGCATTTTTTATGTCAGGAGCTTTAATTATACGAGCGCAAAAGACAGTATTACGCTGGTGGCAAAGGCTACGAATACCGGTCCCATTAACGTGTGGGTCACTCTCAAGCATCTTTAGCAAGAGCATGAGACAATGTCACTTTGTCTTGCGCAGGTCAGCACTAGGTAGTGAAGCTCCTTGCGCCAGGTTCTGCAATACAGTTAACCTTTGACAATTTTGCAGTGGCAAGTTGCAGAACACATCGTGCCAGGCATTCTCATGACCTAACAACTTGCAAAACCAACGTCTTAAATAACTTGTGCGCAATACGTAGTGGGACTGGAAATGGGTGAACCTTCTTCAAGGTTGAATAAAAGGGTTAATCAAGAACAATTGCTGTGCCGAAATGTCAGTGCGTGCTGACTACCGAAACGGATTTGCACTTTTATGCGCAGAGGTGATGAAGGTAGAATGTCTAGCATGGCAAACTTTCTGAAGTTTTAATTGCGACATTATTTGTCCTGACACAGAAGGGGAGGTAGACCAAAAAGTGAAAGCGCCTCGAAAATTCCTATTTCTTCCTTCCGGATTTATGAATCCACAATTTCCCAGATGAGGTTCTACTCATGTACCTTCCAAGTCTTCAACTGTTACGATGAAAAAACACTCCATTGCATTAAAATGCCTCAAAAAAACTACTTAAGTTCCGTTGGGCTTCTTACTTTTGCATAAACTATAATCGGATTTGTTTGACCTGCATCACTAATTTCAACTATCCATTAGAAACGAGACAAACATATCTTCAGTGAGAATTAATCAGCAAGATGGATAAATGGTCTGATCATTCGGGGAGGATAAGCTAACAAGTAGACGAGCAACTCATCTGAGTGGGAATAGAAGGATGTTTATAAGGAATTTCGTTTTTTTTCAGTATGTTGCAGAACCACTAAACTCGACTTTGCATTTGGGGAGATAGTTGTCAAAAACAAGGAAAGTGGTGGACTTACATCAGTGAGGAAGTCGGTGTCTACACGAGCTTCACGTTGCCAAACCACCTTTGTTTCCTCAAACAAGCCGGACGAGGCGTAGACACCACCATTATCTGTCGCTAAGACCACTTGGCGGAAGAGGACACGACAGCTGGGTGCAAAGTTAGAGCCGAGGATAATTAGGTCCACCATGCCGCTTGTGGATGCCTCGCAGTGTGACAGTCGGGCAATCACCGGTGGTCCACGCAGCGGTTGGGCTACATTGGAGAGAGGTAAATAGACTAGAATCTTCTCAAAATGCGACAATATAAAGCGAACGAAAAACAGAACAAAAACACTTTGTTTGAACACAACATAGCGCAATAGAACAGCTTTTCGAATCTTCTACTGTTTGGTCTCCACGACAGTTGTCCAGTCTCCTATTCGCATTAACTGCACCAACATCCCTTCGCCATTACCAGCATCTATGTTCAATCTGATAGAAGTATTGTAGGTATTATTGCACTCTTCTGAGTAATAAAGTGAGAATGTGTGAGAAAACGTTAGCCTAGTTAAGTGTGTCGCATTACCGCACTCAATGAACCAATCAGGTAAGAGGATAATTAATCCTTTTGAGCTTCTAGCATTTCGCCACCTTATGTGTCGTTTTCGGCACCCATAGAAATTACTCGACAGAAAGGTCAAACACTGGATCAAAAAAGGACTTTATTTGAGTGTTCCTAATCTCTTCATCATAGCCAAGCCATGGTGTATCGTGCATTAGATTGCCTGGACCTCTTAATCCGATCATACAATAGGCATACGAAATCTCTAAATCATTCTGCGTGTTAGTAAAAAGGCTACCGCCCAAATTCTAGGTTCAAGTAAGCCACCTGAGGGCAAGTTAGGTGGAGATAGTGAAGCGTATCCAGTCGAGTGGCTAGGTTCCGTTATATGGAGTAAATTTTTCAAATGATATATTTTCAGCAGGTGGTGTCAAGCTAACATGCAAGTTTATTTACCACAGACTAACAGATGAGTGCTGATCCTCCCAAATAAGAAGTTTGGTAGTTTATGCCAAAGGTACACAAATATTGAGCCAATTTATACTAAGTGTATGCAATTCGTGTACACTGTTTTGAGTTTTCGTTGTTAATACCGTAAAGATGTAGGGGATAGTGCATGATTTTCCACAAACACCACGCGGAATCTGTCAGTGAAAGGGCATCTCTTGATTATGGCTTGTTCCACTCAACTCGCGGCGAATGTGTTCAAGAAAAATTTGCACGCCGAAGAGCCATGGTACACGGTCATAGACCCTAAATGCATTTACTCACATTCGCCATGTAGGGACGAATTCAGTCGAATAAGAATGATTTAATAAAGAAAAATCTAAAATGTTAACACTTTCAAAGCCAAAGCAGTATTGTGAGACAAAGTAGGCGAATTGGCTTCCACTGCCACAAACGATGGAATTTCTTATTAAAACTATATGAAGGTAATTTGACAAGGGAAAAGAGGGGGGGAGGGGGCATCAGGGTTTGAGAGAGGAGTATCGAACCTACTGCTTCACAATTGGCCAAAAGCCAACTCACAGGGTAGGTAAGTGAAGGTCTCGGGCCGACCCGCTTTGGTTGGCGTTTGGATGTACACGTGGACCTGCAACGGCGAGGTCAAGGGGATGGAGGGACCACTATACTCCGGAACTTTACAAATCAGGTGAGTCTACAACAGTCACAACACACACACACGAAATCACCATGGTCACTTCCAGCGTCGCCAATATGTGACCCGCAAATCCTTACATTAGTAAGTCTGTTATGCATTTGTATCGTTTCTAGTTCAGTAAATCGTGCCAGAAGTCGGTTGCGTTTGTTACATCCATAAAGGCACTTTGCCTCTTGAGTGGCATTTAGAATTATCAAAGGGAATCATTAAAGAAGAGTATTAAGTTTATGCAACAAAGCATCCGAACGGCGAATGTGGTGGATCATGCTTCGGGAGCTCGATTATAAGTGCCTTAAACAGGGAGCATTTTAATTACCATCCAACCAGAAGCACACTAGACTTTCTATGTCTACTATGTTGGGCTAACTAGGCAGTTTGGTAATTATGCAAGTGAGATCTTTCTACCAGTTCGTACTACTGTAAATTGACACATTCTCAAGCTGTGCGATCTCGTGAATGGCACATTTCTAGGCTTTAAGCAACTGTTTAGACATAATCTCCGTCTCGATTAAGAGCTCTTTGAGGTGCACACTGTTACAACAATAGAGAAGCAGGTTTGACTAGCCCACCGGGGTATTTTAGATTCAAAAGGTCCGTCTATCAGAGTGCGCATCTTCATCATCCACCATTAAAGCATCACCACTCGTCGTTTCCTCCCCCTGAACTGACCACCGCCTTTGGAGGCCAATTAAATAATAAAGTTAAGACAAAGTGAAACATGGGTTCGCCAGACCCCTTGAACTCGGTCATGTACAATGCCACTAACGGATGCTCTAACCATAGCCACAAAATCTTACCACTAAACTTGTAAAAACCATTAAAATGCAATTGGCAGGCCTTTAGGCAGTCGCACCTGAATGAAAGGACGGACTTGTATGCCCAAACGTAAACAGGCGTGTCGGCTATTAGCGAGCATCGGCCTCTTTATCAGCTGTAAATGCAACGCCAACAATGAAGCTATGCCGTTAAAGCAGACCTGGTGGCCAGTTAGGGGCGACCGCGAGCTTAATTATACCCTAAACAACACATCCCTTCGCACTCACACTCAAAAATGAGGTCCCAATATTTTTCAGGGATATCTTTATCTTTCCAAATGCAAAATAAAAACTTATAAAGGTGAATTTTATTGCAAGCTTTGAGTATACCCAATAACTCCATTATCCATACTGGAAAATGGAATCTTCTAGCAATTCATTCCCAATTCCTAGCCACCTCATTATAAAAGTCCACACAAAAATTTTTAAATCGTCTGCCCTGCTAAATAAAAAACTTTCCTCCCAGTGACAGTAAACCTTGAAGCTGGGAAATCATAACATCAGTGTCCGTTTCCTTTTTAACATTTTTGCCTGTAAACGTAATGGAATGGAGACTAGACCTTTCCCATTTGATTCGAGACGAACTACAATTCTATGTGAGAATTAGCGCCATTATCTCAGGGATGAAAGTCTAGATCGGTGAACGGCGCGTACGTCTTCAAGGCGGATCCTCGTACGGTCTAAAGCATTTAAATCATTCCAACCCAGGGATTGGCAGTGGCCGTTGACTTGAAGCAAAGAAGTTTCACTTCGTTTTAGCATGTATTTCCTTCTGAGTAGTTGATAAATTAAACAAAGTTTAATGAGACATTGATAAGCCTTAAGAGCTTAGTAGAGCATGATCATGGTAGTTGAATGGAACCACTTCCAATGCACATACGGTGTGAAGTTCCAGCGAGCCACTACAAGAGATCTCAATCTCACCTGATAGAAGAAGTTTGGGTCTATAGCGGCGTCCCTTTCCCATACAACATCTACTTTGTCCTCACCATTCAAGTCGGTAGGCAGACTGTTGCTGGTAGAAGCACTGGAGGCCAGCTGGCGGAAGATGACACGAGTTCCACGCACAAAGTTCTTTCCAATAATATAGAGCTCTGGTTGACCCCGTGCGTCTCCCTCCTTGATCGACATCCGACAGATCTCTGGTCCGCCAACGATTTGCGCTAAAGTAAATCCAAGCTGTTTAGATGGTGCACCTCTGAGGCACAACAATAACATCCAATGTACAAAACACGAAGAGTGGGAATGTATATTTATGCCTCAATTTCTTGACATCACTTAATTTTGAGGTTTACCAAAAAGGCCTCATTTTGCGGAATGATAACACCGAGGTATCCATTGGGGTGATATCGTTACATCAGAAGAATATCTGCACTTCTATTGTGCTACTTATTTTGCGGCATTACTGAAATGCGCGAGTGTTAACAATGGCTTCGCCTTTACAGTTGCGTCTATCGAGCTTGTGATAGCGATGCCTTTTATGAAAACATAAGTATAATAAGTAATAAGTATAAGTGTAAGTACAATCATTTTGCATCTTCTTTACTCAAATTCTAAGTTTAAGGTAGTTGTAAAAGGGCCCTTTGACCGGTGTGGAGGGTTAAGAGCTAAAATCGGAAAGATCAACACTAAACACCGGACGAGGACTGAGTGGCTCAATAATTTTTGCCTGTGCACCGTAGTATTCATCTTTCCATAAAGTCATGGTGCAGAAATATGTATTGTTTGAGGTTTTCTAAAAACATTGGCGACGGTACTTATCCAACAGCACTAGTGTGCGTTAAGAAGCGAGTGCTTACTGCAGCGAATGGGATCACTGATGACCTGAACCACCCCCTCTACCCTATTTTCATGAGAAATGAGGAGGACCCTGTAGACAAGGCGTGCAGAGCTCGACTTGGGCTTTATTGAACGGCGCGCAACTTCTTCGCAGATCTGAGTGGAAGGCAGCTGTCCATGCTGAATTGCGGAGGAGGACGTGGCAGCGGTAGAGGGACCGGAGGTAGGAGTGGAAGGCGGAGGAAGTCCAGGTAAGCTAAGGAGCTTCTTTTGCTGCTCTTCTGATAGTGACGCCATTCGTCTTTCCACATCAGAGTTGCGTAGCTTTACAAGTCCGACAGAATCTACACTAAAAAAAGCAGGCGAAGTGGAGAGTGAACCGCTGTTGATCAAGGGCATCAAGCATGCCTGATCGGGAATAATACATTCCAGCGCTACATTGAATTACTACCTAGGTCTGCTCCTTACAATTAACAAAGAGTTTGTGTGCCGTTACCCAGTGGCTTACTGTGGTTTTCTTGGATGAAAAATTGGTCAAACATGTCTTACAGCATCGGTACCAGAACATATTTAAACAAGACAGGCGGGTGAATGAACAAGAAGAATGCAAAGGTAGCGAGGAAAAAACATTTTAATACTACATAGATAAAACAGCAGGACGGTAAAAGTCCCTTCAATTGGAGGTGGCCTTGACTCATCTTGTAAATGAGTGCAGTCTCCACTGCCAGCAAAAGAAGTTAGTTGGTGTTAAAATTTTTGCATAGTTTCGACACCCATGCTAATGCATGTTTATGTACGCACCAACGCAGATGTCAATGCCCGGTGAAGGGGCTGCAAGACATGCAAAAAAGTCGCCCAGTCACGGCGGCACTTTTTGGTCTTTGATTTAAACACTGGTGAAGGAAAGAACCCTTTTTTAAGTAGTCTTTCTGATAGTCCTGAATAGGATTTTCACCTGTTACTCGTTGGCTTTTTGCTTTTTTATAGTTGATCCCGCTATCCCTCTCTGCCTTGCTATTCCAGCTGTTATAAAAGTACAGGAGCGTCATTCCAAGTATGAGCACTTCTCAAACAGTTTTAAAATATCATTTATTCTTCAATTTCAATAATTGTCAATGGAAAGTTATACCGTTTGCTTGATTCCTCGAATCTTTAGTTGCTCGTGGGTTCCTAACCTAACAATTGAATAAATGTTAATTATAATATTAATCTCAGTTTCGTAGGTTTGAAAGCATCCTTCTTTTATTCTCCCCTTCCTCATTACCTACCTTTGATAGGCGAAAACTGGCATTCCATAAGAAACTTTACGTTCGCCAGCTCAGCAAATAACAGTTAATAGTGACATTAGCAAGCAAGTTAGCTGATGGATACAACCTAGGTTATTCTGAAGGCATGGACATTCAGCAGCTCCAATTTAATTCATTTTATCGCTTTCATTCTGTAAATGTGAAGTGCGTGTTCTTTCCCACTTTGCGACGGTTGGTTGCGCCTGAGTGTGTCGCCAAAACAGGCTGAACTGACGGTTGATGAGGGATGAAAAATGCTCATGGTTTGAATATTTAGGACCCTAGGCTGTGCTGGCCGACCCTATCTCTTTGGGATCTCTTCCGAACAAGTCTCAATTCAAACTGCAGTCATCAACTTAATGCTTCATCAGGCTTCCATGGTACGCCAATTATGTTGAGAGAGGAATGTACTAGTAGATTTTCACCGTAATACGTGGTGATTGAATAGAAAAGCCCTGCAATGTACGACTACATCGCATAATGAAGCTAGCTAGTAGAAAATGACGCCAAAACCATACTTAACACCCACTGTCACAAACAGTAGTCCGGTAAAGGCAGCTTCCTCCAATTTATGCCTTACTATGCGCTGCAAGCTTACAAGGCATTAATGAGGCTACTTTGGGCAATTTCCCAGTGATTATAAAAGGGGTTTCAGCTCAAAAGAATAAAAAATTTAACCTCAAGCAAGTCGAAGTATGGACTAGATTTAGACAAACATAATTGCATCCTAATGTTTTGCTAGAGGGCGGATAATCCATCCCAACGGTGTCATAAAAGGTTAGTGTTATCAGGTCGTTAAGAGATTGTGAACACCATTAATTTTACATATTTAACCGCAGCGGTTGATGCAAATAAGTACAATCCCACGTCCCTATTAAGGAAGATAACAGCTAAGAGTGAGCAGAACCACCATTCATTAGATTAAACTTGGTATTGCATAGATGCATGAATATGTGTACGCCTACTATTATGAAAATATTTATTAACTTTTAACAAGCATAGAAGGGAATTTCACAAATAGGTCAATATTAGATTCCGTTTTTAAGAACATATGATTTATGCTAAAAAATAAAATCAGATTGTAAAAGGTATGCTTGCAAATTCTAGGTAGTGATCTTATCTATATATCTTCTTCGAGTGCTTCCTACCTGAATGTGATGCTATAAAATAGCTAGTCAAGTTAAGGCCTACAAGCAGGTTACCTCATTACGCGGTCCTCCGTGTTTGGAGTGAAGGGCACCTGCACTACTGTGGTGAAACCGCAGACCAGCTCAGAGCAGCCACGATTGCTTTTTGTAGACACGAGGCAGACCTGGTAAAACAGGTGTAGATGGGGATCCGTAGACTCGTTGGCTACGAACACCTGTACCATAGCAGGGCCTGACCAGCCTTGGAGCTAGAAGGCCACAAATGGTAACATGAATGACTGTCCTTATTAGCGCCGTCCCCTTCCCACTAAGTGGTGACCAGGTCGTTTCCTAACCATACACCAATAGTTAATAAGTAAAATAGGATCAAAGGGGAGAGAAATCATCAATAAACTTAATCGATTTTGTCACTTCACTTTGAGAGATAAATCTCAGTGGTGCTTCTCTGTGGTCAGATAGTAACCAGGTAGCCCATCAACTTAGTAATGTTTTTACGGTAGATAGACCTAAGCGGTGTATTTGGCGCTTAAATAATCAAGACTTAAAAGACAGTGGAAGTAACTTAGTAATGGTGCGTATGACGCACATTTTTTAGCTACGTTTATTCCATTTCACAGTCCCTTTCCTCTGCTGATCCCATGCACCCTTGGATGGAAGTGTCAATATTTTAGGAAAAGACTTAAACGATTCAGCTTTGCCAGATACAATGAATCCGCCTTTGTGAAATGGAAATTATCCTGTCTTGGCAATGCTGAATTCGAAAATAGGTATTAAGCCGAAAAAATTCCCATGTTATGACTAAACACTATTAAAAGGTGGTTTAACCAGGTCAGTACGAAGTCTCAACAACCACCTCCACTGCATGTAGAATATTCTCACAATATCCGATTGGTAATATCTCTACGATACATGTTTATGCAGGTGGAATCACAATCCTTTTCAACTGGAACTGACACATTGGACCTTTGGGAAGTGTTATTAATGAGCACAAAATAGTTATAATCAAAATGGTTTTATAAACGTGTTTTGTACATACAGGTATTAGGTAAGATGAGTAAGAGGAAATAAATCTCAAGTTCCGCTCGAACAAAAGTAAGACATGTCCATTTCGTGACAAATGCAACATCTCATTCGTCTTAAAATGTAGACATTACCTCCTACATTGCCTGGTTCGACCGTAAATTGTACCTAATAATTAGTCTGTGCTGACGTAATTAGAAATCAATGATGGCTTAGCGTCTGACTCGGTTTCAATGCCAGTCCAACGTCGGAGCGGACTTTGGCCTCCCTCCCTCGCTGGTATGTACAAACACTTCCAGCCTTCCAATCCCAATTGAGACTTCGATTCGGTACATACCTGGATTGTCGGATAGCCGTCAAAGGTGCGGTTTTTAATTGGTCCTCGACTGCCTTCTGTGAGATAACGAGCTCGGTGCTGCAGCTCAGGTTGCTGCAAGAGCGTCAGTTTGACGTCCTTCCAGGTGCTTTCAAAGGGCTCGATGAAGTAATTGAATTCCTGTAAGGCGAGGTCTGCGGCGGAGAGAGGTGGTGAGAGCATACCACTACTACCACTACCGCTGCCGGCGTCTCCACCACCACCACCACCACCACCAACGCTATCACTGTCTCCAACATCACTTCGCTTGTTCTCCACTTCATAGGCTGCTAAAATGAGCCGTAGATAACTAAACTGATGAAAGAGCTGTGGAGACATTGGAATTAATAATACTGTCACTAACATAAGCTCCTAAGCGATAATATTCCTAAATGGAACGTCATGAGGGATGACAGGGAGCATTCCAAAGTGATTAGCTAAACATTTTGAAGGAGTTTAACAATGGAAGTAGTGAGGTGGTGGAGAATATAGCATTCCAGTTTGGTGGTAGGGTGGCCCTGGTAAGGAATCCTTTCAGAAAACTATAGAACCCCAATTACCTAGTTGGAAATGTGCCATTAATTTGAGAAAAACCATTAAGCAGGAGTAAGGGTGTACAATTAGATGATAGGAGTTAATTCAAGCACGTCTGAGTTCTCAATGGAGAATGGTATTCTGTTAATTGGCTGACTTACTACCTAGGGCGACGTCTACTGTCCATTACCTTACGATCTTAAGCAGTTACCGTAATTGTGTCTCATGACGAATGCCAAAGCCTATCAATGCTAGTGTGCTACTTTTACAGCAAATTTTTAATGTTTTAAACGAACGTTTTGTCCCATGTAGTTAACGGGATACTGGACTTAAGGTATAATCCATCTTAAAAAGCTATTCCAACTGCAGAACGGAGTTGATTTAAATTATAACAGACGAGTGAGAGAACGAAGGTCAAGTAAGCGTGGCGCTGTGAAAAATTCAGGAGGTGAGCAACTTGGCATCTCCCAATCCAAAGTGTTAATGAGATATGAACTCGCATACCCAGAGCTTGCAATGTCAATGCCAAAGTCTTAACTTCAAAGCAATATGGCAAAATGTTTCTGTTTGATTGTTTTTGAGGTGAGGACATTGACTTTGTTTACCGCAACGTTTAACTCTTTGACATCTTGAAAATGTTAAATTAGTCTGCAAACAGTGCTAAGTCTCATTGGGGTCCTCGAGGTCCGATGATGGTTTTGGGTAGAATCGAAGTAGTGGACAGACTGAAACGGGTAAGTCAAACCGCGAGAAGAAGGACACGCACTCGGCGTCTACGCCAATCGCATTTGCAGCTAAAACCAGGTCAGGTTAAATTCATTTCGGCTGAATCTGAAAGTGATGTCATAACGTACAGACGTAGATGTGCTCAAGTCAACTCAGATTTAAGATCGGAATTAACAATTATGACCAGCCTTCTTTATAGTGCCTCTGAGATCAAAACTGGTTGCACCACCGATCCGAAGCCCATAAAAGTAAACTTCTGGGCTCTCAGTCTCTTTTGCACTCCTTGCGTTAAATGCCAATCAAACAGTGCATTCAAAAAGCTAAATGAAGGGGATTTATACGCATATATGGTGTTTTGCAGCCAAATAACTGGCGCTTATTCAAGCAGGGCAACTGTTTCTGCCCGCAAGAACAAAGGTCATTTCATGTTCCACCGTAAGTGATTGAAGTTCCTCATGACGCTGTGAATTGTATTGCAACGCCTTGTGAGGCTATGATTGACTTATTAATGTAATTCAACGGTAACCACGTGGCTGCTTCGATTGCAAGTTTTGGTCTGCTTTTGAGGAACTGCTCCTATTTTCATCGAAACCCTTGGTTCGTTATCAATCTGACAAAGTTATTTGTAATCAGTATTTCCTTCCTTCCTTACCTTATTAAGAATAAAATTGATGCTATGCTTCGGCGCCCCAACAGCGTGCAAACGAGGTCGACAAATGCAAAAGGCCCTGCCGACAATTTTTTTCATTACCACGTACGAAACATTCGGCTGAGTAGCTGGAGTGCTTGTGTGTGTGTACGCGAAATTGAATCCAAAAGTGACAGTTACACCCTGGCTCGTGACTGCCCCCTCCCTCGTCTTGGTAGGTGGCACACTGACAGCAATGGTATTGATGATGGCAGGCACGGCGGAGACAAATGCACCTCCATAGGGTGCGTGCGCCTGCATGCATTCATTACAACCTACACGAGATGCATGTGACCACCACCACCACCACTGGCGCTAGAAGTACGAGGTCGTCTGCTACGAGTCGCGAGCTCGACTCGAGCTGAGCTTGGACGTCATCCCACAAGACGATGCCTCAACTCGTGTAGATCCGTTCAAAATAGTTATGAGATGCTACCACACACCACAAGCCATTACCTGACCAGGAAAGTGTAATCAGTAATTCGATTTAAATGGAGGAGCCTTTCAAAGGAGTGTGAAATGTGCCTTCATGTGTTTATCAGAAAATCCACCACCAATGTGATATGTGATGCCGTTAGACGCTTGTGGTTGCCTTAGTTTCAGATGTTACCGTACTGGTTTTAATGCCCACGCACATTCTGGCTTTCATGCTTGAGCCATAAGACTCAGCTAATAACTTCTAACCTCTGTAGGTTTATATAAAATTTTCTTCTAGACTGCGTGATGTGATAGGTTAGGCGTGATGTTGATAGCTATTTTAGTAACTCTAGCCCTAAAGAGCAATGGTTCCCCATTTCACAGGCTGGATACCGTGGTAGGAACTGATAGAATGAAGGCGTACACCGGGGCCCTGAAGTAATTTATGACAACAAATTAACAAACTAAACGTCACACCGAAATGTGGCATTGAAGAAAGTGTCTTTATGAAGAGATGAACATTGTTGGATTTCCATCAGCAATTTCAAATAAACCATTTCTTCATCCAACACATATCTATGACATGCGACACCACCACTAAGCGTGTGTTTATCACGTAACTCGTGTTTATAGCACGCGTTTGTCTGAAGCAAAAGAGTGGTCACAAAGAGACCCCAAAGAAGTGATCATAGCGTGGGAGTTATGTGGCATCAAAAGGTCTGCGACTTTGACTATGCAGGCCTACCTAAGGTCTTATGTCATTAGACCGTGGCACTGACCACTTACGACGAGGAGACACAGGCTCGAGAGTCCCATAACATTTTCTGATGTAACTCACACAACATCAGTTTCCTCTTTTTTAACCAATTTTGACATTTTGACAATTTTGTGGTTAAGAAGTAAGAAAGGGGGAGAAAAACAGAGGCGAAGTTGATAAATGGCAACTTACTGGACCGAGGAGTGGTTCTACGTGGTCGAAGTCTGGTGCAGGGGTTATCTGAAAAGTGGCCCGATGAGGAGAAATTGAACGTCTTTGACCTCCCTGTTGTTGGCAGCATCGGATCAAAGTCGGACGTGCTTGGGCTCGGTTTCAGTAGGATCCTGGGAGTTGAAGAAATAACAGAATGTACAGTTTTTTAACAAGATCTGAGGACTGAAAGGCAAAAAAATGTTTTAACTCCGTTATTAAAGTTTATTTTCTCCTAGGACCTCAAATCTGTTTCAAACATCCATTTTAGTACCTGACTAGTTCCTTCTAACTGATCTTCTGAATGCGGTCCTCGAAGATGCAGTAGCGTCTGCTGACAGTTCAAAACACAAACAAAAGAAACCACGATTAAGTGGTTGTACAGGTTTTGCCCTACTATTAAACACAGTCTAAGGTAATACCAAAGCGAAGGTACCAGCAATGGACCTACAAATTTATCAACTCATCATAGTAACATGTTTTTACTTTTCTACTGGAACTTTAGCCATAAATACGCGCTGCACATTTTAGGAAACCACGTTCTCTGCGCAAGCGCCTAAATCACTCATTTTATTTAAATAGGGGACATTGAAATTTATTTGCTTTAGTTTATTTTTTTAGTGAAAATAGCAGATTCTTCATTGGCGTTTGTGAAGAACACACGCTTCTTCAGTTAATAGCAGCACATGGTTTAGCGAGTTCTTTCCTACACCTTAAGGGTGATTTTATGCACCCCTTTGTTTTTTTGCAGGCAACAAAGCATTTACACTCCGAATGTTTGTGAATCGCAGTAAGCTTACTCTGGCAAGAGATTTGGTTAAAAAGAAGCAATTTCAATGTGGGAACACATTGGAAGCAACTCCACTACTTCATCTGACAAAAACATGTGGAGACTTTGATTGACATTTGGGGTGAGAGACTAAAAAAATTACTCTCCTTCCTTAAGATGCTTTACATTTGCCCTTGCTTTGATTGACGAAATTGCAATTATGAAGTGATGGTGCAGGTTACAGACTGAACTGGACCAAAGCGCTCAAAAATATAACGTAAATGAACGCTTTTTGAACTCATAGTTCCAATCACCTGTGCCCTTAGGTAATGCTGCCTAGTTAACCAAACTATTGCCACCTCTGGGAAAAAAAGCGGTTGATTGTAAGAATAAGCATGCTCTAGAACATTGTAAACACCACTTTAAATGTGAAGGTAAGGCGAAAAAAACCCGAGAATTGCTCACGACTGTACAACTTCATTGTATTCGCCTTGTGCATGTTGTGCCTTCACTTCCAACACATACTTTTGAAGCTTTGATCGTAATTATTAATGTGTAGCTTGGGCTACTGTAGCAGAGTTTGTGTGAACGCAAATGCTATTCAAAGCAATTCAATATTAAGAGACATCGGGTTCATTTAGGTGTGCTCTGTAAAAATGGTAAAACGAGGAAGAACTACAAAGCTTTGAGAATTATCAGTAAAAGGACAAAGTAATTCAAAAACAAGAGAACTATTTATATTATCAACAGACAAAGTTTGGAGGAAAGAGCGACCACCATGTGCTTGCCTGGCGGTTGAGGATGTCAGATGAAGGAGGAGACATGTAATCACTCCACTGCACCAAGGCTTAAGAAACTGTCCACTCGTCAGGGCTCTGTACATAACTTTAATTGAATGAAAAAGGAGACAATCATTCACTCCGCGTATTGGAATTTCATGGAAGGTTTAGCTGAGCTGATCCAATTTGTCTCGCCACGCTAGTATTAATCTTACAGGAGTAGGAGTCCCACAATTCACTGACTTACATCGTGTCTGAATTTCAAAGTCCTGGTGCGGTAATTCTGGTAAATAGAGATAATTTCCTCTACTTACCATAAAACATCTTCATGAACTCACTTTCTTTAGGGATCGTAACAAAGTAAGACTTACTCAGAACCCTCACCGCTTCGGTTAGAGGTCATTGTTACCCGTCGCACCATAGACTGTCTGCCGACGCACAGGGTCGTCTTTCGAATCGGTGGTGGCGGCTGCTGTGGCTGTTGTTCTTCAGGCACAGTCGGTTGAGTAGGTGGAATAGTCTGCTGTAGACGCCAGCGTGGATTGTTCACAATAGCAAGCTGTTGCTGTTGCGTCATATGGCCCCAGGCACCATTGGGAGTTCTTTCTGCGGCTTCGGCAGTCGAAGTGGGATTCAACTGACCCTGAGATGTGTCCGCCTTGTAGAAGTACTATAAACAAAGCGTAATACGTCACTTTCAGTCGAAATTTTGTCACTTGGTCCCCTTCCTTCCCTGTTCGTGGGCGTAGCAACCAAAATAAAGCATAATGCTGCAAGCGGGGAATCATAAGAGGGAGCAAGCACTTACTTCTTGTTGCCTCAACATCTGTTCTGAAGTACTACCAGCGGATGAAGAGGTGGTAACAGATGCATCAGCAGAAGCGGCATCAGGTGGGAGTCTAGGTGACTTCCAGGTCTGCGCTTGCATAGCAGTGAAACCCTGAGCGTTGGCGTAACTACGCAGTGCGTACTGGCGTTGAACAAACTGACTCCTACGAACCGACTGAAGCTCTTGATGTTGCTGATTTGCAGTGTAAATGGAAGCAGCTAGACGCCGGGGTCTAGCAGGAAGTGATATTGCGTTTCGACTGTTGTTCATCATCATACCGGGCGTCAGCATCTCGGTGCGAAGCATGGAACGACGCTGTGGACATCATCAGGTTTGACGACAAGATAAGAGGGGAAGGGGTGACAGGGTTATTGGGTAACAAAGCGGGAGTTGGTAAGCAGAGCGAAGGCAGTTAGCTCATAATTTTTACATGTTGTTATTGCCTTCACCAATGTTGCTTTCAAGCTTAAAACCTTAGAAGTAAGATCTAATTGGTGCAAAGGTATAGCAAAAACCTTTTCACAGCTTCGCATTGTCGGCACGATTGTGTACATAAAAATGAGGTGAAATTCAAGCATAGCTCACGGCTGGTGCCAGTAACTGACGGGATTTAGTGAGAGTCAGCCGTCTGAACCCCCTTTTGTGTAAATAATGCAACTCAGTCCCAATATTTGAGGTCGTTATAAGATCAACGCATTAATTCCATTAAAAAGGACCATCTGCATAACACGAGTGTGTGTTTTCTAACAGCTGGATTACTTTGTTTCACCTCAACATCATTAAACCCACCTCGAAATACCAGAACGGAAAGTTAAAAAGAACTCGCGACATAATACACCACAATGCTTCAATCAATGGAACCAGATTTAGTGGCGAACTAGAGCAGACCTCCTAACTTATCCACTTATTTACATTTTATTGAGTTCATTAAAGCCTCTAAGCGCAGCATTTGCTAAAATACCTAAGTTCTTCTAATTGTTTGGACCACAAGAACTAATTCTGTTATTGCTCATAAACGCCCTTTTAAAAGAACGGCTCCTACCATCATACGAAATGAACTCATCATCCACTCGTGTTAAGACTTCAACCTAAATTATTCGAATTGATGTACCTTCTGGGAGGTAAGGTACTGCTGCTGTTGTTGGTGGTGCAACTGCGCCTGCGTCAGTCTACTACTCCGTCGCATGACAGAGGGGTCAAGTTGGTAACGCTTGTTCGGACTCGGCTCCTCTTTCGTGGTAGCTGTTGGTGGTGGTGGTGGTGGAGATCCTTGCGCAAGTTGATTTATGACATGAGAGGAGGAACTTGAGCCTTCTGGAGAGGAATCCTCTGGGGTGTAGCAATACTCGGGCGGCGGTTGGGGCGGTGGGTGTCTTGTGTCTAACATCTCTCCAGCTGTTGTCGAGTCAGTTCCGTTGGTAAAGTAATCTGTGGAATAGGGGTCCTGATTCTGGTTTTGACGCTTACGACAATCCGAAGATGTCTCCTAAATTATGGCAATAATATGATGACAACTTTTCCGCTGGTGCTTTAGTTTCTAACCCTTAGATAGCAAATTTGAAACAGGATTGATGGGACTGGCAATCATTTAAGGAAATTACGTACAGCCCGGCTTTCCAATTTTTATCATTAATGGGTTAATTTCGCAGGGCTAAATGACACCTTCAGTTAATCCTTCGGAGCAAAAAATAGGTTGCACATTTTTTTCCTTTTAAATTATTTTTTTGTCTATCATCAGAACCGATGCAGACAACGAGACATTGGTTGTTTGTGTTTAACTACATTGGTTTTGAAAAACTAACAGCCTATTGAACCTTCTGAATAGTTTTGTAGAGGACGGAACATTACAAGCTGCCTAGTCCATCCATTTTGCCCTCCGATTGGAGGCGATCATACATTACGCACCAAACAAACGTAACTCTTACGTTTGAGTTACACTGTCCGAGACGATCAAATATCCAAGGGTACGATTCGTACATAATTCAAAGAAGAAAGGGTAACCTGACACAATGCTTACTTCGTTACCATTTAAGGAGTTAACTCTACGACCCATAAGACTATAAGCTTAAATAGTACATCAGTAAGATTTAATCATGTGACGGATAACCTCCGCTTGATTTCAAAAATAAACTTTCCTCGATTATGCAAGTAAATTAAGGAATGAAATCAATGTGAAAAATTGCTTTTTAACTATTGCCAATACTTGCGGCTCCCGCAAAGGCGTTGGCACATTAACAATGCATGTTGATTTATTTGTGTGGCTACAAGCTACCAAATGTAGGTGACTCGACTTCAATTCAGCGTAGCTTGAAGTTATTTATTGCGTAGTCAACGTTCAAAGGGCCTGCGGTAGTACCATCAAGCACCGAGACGGGAAAGAGTTTGAAGAAGGGCAATTTAATGTCAAAAATTGAAATGGCGTCTATTTTGACATAACAAAACTGAATCATTAATTATGTTGGAACGTCTCAACCGAGATCCAACGTGTTCACCAGTGGGTTATCAGAGGAAAATAGAGCACACCGAAAAGAATATTTTAGTTGTTTTTGCACAGAAATATTGTACACCCAATCAGTTGTCTCAAGATCAACAGATCTGTTTACAACCGTGATTTCCTTATTCTCGAACGCCAACACCCGATTAGAAAATGAAGAAGTCAAGAGTTTAGGACTATGTTCCATGTGAAGGTGAGAATCCGAACACTAGTTCGTGGCTGGCTCAGTATCAACGGCCCTACAGACAACCGAAATGGATCATCAACCTAGCCACCATAACAGTAACACGTAAAAGCGTGTTCGATTAACCCCCATTTGTACCTTTCTAAAAGAACCGATAAGATAAGGTGATAAGAGTTGTTTTTAGGACAAATCAAACAGGAAATAACTGTAGCTTTACCATCTAGCATAGATTATACAAAGTGCAAACTACCACACGCCCTCCCATCCCACTCAAGGCCAAGTAGGAGAACTGTTTACAATTAAAGAACTTCGTAAATAGACTTTCACTGCCTTGACCATAAAATTTACTATTTTCTATTGCAAAATTTAAGTGAGTTGAAAAACTTCTAATCATTACATGCCTTGTAATGTGTACTTTAAACCTGTTCGAAGTAAATCGACAGACCCAAAAACAAACTTTGTTAATTTAATATGGAATTTAAGTATTTATTTGGTTCTTACTAAAATATTTAAATGCAATGCGGCTTGATATTTCACTGCTCCTATAAATTATTTTTTGTCCTTAACGTATTCGTTACAAGCATCGCGTGAATGTGACGTCCTCTTTGGGTTCGTCATACCAACCAGCTGCAACAAAATACATCGCAAGTACAGGGATTAAGCTCAAAAATATGATCTGAAAATCTATTTGTGTTTACACCAACCACGCCAGTTGAAGTGGTTGGAAAAGTGATACATTTATAATACTCATTCTGCTGCAATTCCTTTTTTAAGGTCCTGTCAACGGGTGTCGGTTGAAGATGACCAAAGGGTGTGAAGCTACGCATGGCTTTGTACAAGTATGTCTGAGTAAGGTTACGCTTTTTGAATCATTATAAGGAAGCCCTAGAATTCATTAAAGAATAGACTGTAGCACCAAATGCCTGTATATTTGGGCAAAAGGGAAGTTTGTGCATGTGAGTATGCAGCGATTATCGATTTCAGATATCGATGGGCATTGGTTAACGTGGTTAACGCAGCATCTCGACGCCTCAGCCTTATTTCACTGTACGCTCAGGACGAACTGTGAGGGCATGCTCCTGCTACTTCCACCACCGGCTCTGCTTTTGCGCATTGTTGCACGCTTCTCAGGCGCCTACACATTTTTGAAAGTCAAGGAGTGTTAATCACCATCGCGACTGGTACAGATTTAGGAGCTACGCGCACTCGCACACACACTGATACCAGACTCCTACGATTGGTGCCGAGGCCTCAACACCCTACCCGTATATGCATACATCCGCCTTTGTGTGTTAGATCCCGGAAAACAGAAAGATTGCCTCGTCTCCCAAAACTCCATCATACCACCTTAAAATAATGAAAGTTTGAAGAATGGATAAATAGAAATCATTGGTTTTCTCAGACAATTCAATGAGAATCGGTGAATGTGAATCGCAATATATAAAAATATCTAATTTATGTTATCGAGGCTTGCATAATTATTAACTAGGTGTCTCAAGTCAAGTCAGACTTTTGAGGGTCTTAGTGGCAAAACAGATGGTACAACAGCTGAATTACAAGCATTTCAAATACCAGCATTAGTAGCTGGCGGTTATAAACAGCGTTGAACGAAGTGTCAACGGTGGAAATGCATGAAATAACTCATGATGATGATTCATACGCTAATGTTGACCCACAATCCACTGACGCCTACAAAAGACTCCAAGTGCGGCACGGAGGTGAGGCAAGGGCTTTTTAATCACATCTATGCGTGAAAGTCAACGTGCAAAATCCTTCCAAGAAAAGTTAGCATTATATGATTGTATTTCAGATAACAGTCATGTAAAAAAACAGTTTTCCTATTCACAATAAATTTAAAAAGAACAATTTTAATGGACAAGAGGTGGACCATTATTTGCAGTCCTCGAGCCAACCGAACGGCTACTCACACATGTTTTTGCTTGACTAAACGGATCCCATTGAGTGTTCACAATTTTATTGCTATCCCCATCACTACATGATACGTGTTTTTGAATACTGATTCCGATCCTGCACCGGCTAGATCACACTTAATTGGCACTGAAAACTAAAACAGACATATCATTCCCAAACGAAACCATCGTTTTTCAAAATTTTTAAGCGTCTGCTCTACTCTCACCACTTATGATGAGGCTGGACATGCCTTACCTTCACCGCCCGCAACACGAAAGAGTTCACGGAAAATTCAAATGTGTGGAATGCAAAAAATACGGTCCAATCAAATGTACCGGGCGAAGAGGATGTCGGAGTGGATGACGAATAATGTTCTCTGAGTTGCTACTTCCACAGTCACTACTTTTTTATAAATATACTCATGGATTTGTGTTAGCGTCCTCATCAGCGGTTTGAGCACTGCCAAAACATTTGACGCGAGGGAGTGATTTAAGGCTTTAAACTTACATAAGTCAAACAAGTATGATAATGACGAAATTTGCAATCCATTTTGACTTGACGAACCACTGGCACACACGAATGCCTGCATGAATGCATGCAAGAATATGTATTTGCGAGTTCAAGCGCATATTTATTTATGAAAAGTTAAAATTGGATAAAAAAATGAGAAGTGAATACTGGTGAAGTGTTTACACATGAAGATATTAATTATGCCGAGGCAACTCCAAGAGGGTGGATTGTGGGACTGTCTGCGTCATTAAGTAGTCGTCAAGATCAAATGCTCTTCGAGCTTCATCCTCGCTTAAGTGTTGCCGCAGCTCCAGTCAACCTGTCTTTCCTGGTCTACTACCGCTGATAGCATAAGAAGGTCAAATTACGACATGTAAAAACGAGTCTGCGTGCTGTCTACGAGGGTAGAGTAGTAGTGGTGGTGGTGGTGGTGGTGGAATTGTTCATAAAAATGCGTACACTTTTGCTTTTCAAACAACAGACCATGTGTACGTGGTTTAAGTCAAGTCTTATTAGTGCCTCTTTGAATGCATGTAGGTTGTCTCAGTGAAATCTCGGAGTTTTGCTTGACTCCCTTTGCCACCACACACACACACAAAACCCAAAAGTTCAACCCTGCGTTTCTAACTTAGTGGATGTGGTGGAAACTAAAAATGCGAGTTTCGACGTTGCATTAATGTTTGTTGCCATTTTACAAGAGGAGACAAGCGTCAGACAGGGTTTAATTCTAATTTTGTAGAGTGCGGTGGTGACGAAAACGAATTGGGAGCTCAACGACATTGCTGCGGAGTTTCCTTCTACTGAGCCCATCTGTCTATCCACGCTCAACAGGCCACCTGTCTCATTACGGATTTGAAGCGACGGTCAAGAATGCAAACGACTCGGTAAGAAAGTAGATTCTCACGCAAAAGGGGTGACGCGGTAGTCAGTCCTCTTTAAGTACTCAACATCACCTTCTTTCAAACGCTCTCCTAGTGATATTTAGTCATTTATGTAGTAATTCGTGTGGATAAATGGGCGTAATTTTTTAAAAAATCTGATCCCTCCCTTTGTTCATGGCAGAGCTTAATGAGCTTCTTTCTAAACGAATGCAACGGCCATTGTGATTCATAATCATACCTAAATGCCAAACAGCAAACTAAAAATATTAACTGTTCCTGTCGAAAAGGATTTCGTCCACTTGATGAATTTACTCATCGCATTCAGTTGATGGAAACACTTCATTTTGGCAAGACACAATTTCAGAAAAGTTT